TATAGTTGAAAATTTCCCTAACATGGGAAAGGAAATAGCCACCCAAGTCCAGGAAGCACAGAGAGTCCCTAACAGGATAAACCCAAGGAGAAACACGCCAAGACACATAGTAATCAAACTGGCAAAAATTAAAGACAAAGAAAAATTATTGAAAGCAGCAAGGGAAAAATGACAAATAACATACAAGGGAACTCCAATAAGGTTAACAGCTGATTTCTCAGCAGAAACTCTACAAGCCAGAAGGGAGTGGCATGACATATTTAAAGTGATGAAAGGGAAGAACCTACAACCAAGATTACTTTACCCCGCAAGGATCTCATTCAGATTCAATGGAGAAATCAAAAGCTTTACAGACAAGCAAAAGCTAAGAAAATTCAGCACCACCAAACCAGCTCTACAACAAATGCTAAAGGAACTTCTCTAAGTGGAAAACACAAGAGAAGAAAAGGACCTACAAAAACAAACCCCAAACAATTATGAAAATGGTAACAGGAACATACATATCGATAATTACCTTAAGCGTGAATGGATTAAATGCTCCAACCAAAAGACACAGGCTCGCTGAATGGATACAAAAACAAGACCCATCTATATGCTGTCTACAAGAGACCCACTTCAGACCTAGGGACACATACAGACTGAAAGTGAGGGGATGGAAAAAGATATTCCATGCAAATGGAAATCAAAAGAAAGCTGGAGTAGCAATACTCATATCAGATAAGATAGACTTTAAAATAAAGAATGTTACAAGAGACAAGGAAGGACACTACATATTGATCAAGGGATCAATCCAAGAAGAAGATATAACAATTATAAATATATATGCACCCAACATAGGAGCACCTCAATACATAAGGCAACAGCTATAAAACAGGAAATCGACAGTAACACAATAATAGTGGGGGACATTAACACCTCACTTACACCAATGGACAGATCATCCAAAATGAAAATAAGTAAAGAAACAGAAGCTTTAAATGATACAACAGACCAGATAGATTTAATTAATATTTGTAGGACATTCCATCCAAAAACAGCAGATTACACTTTCTTCTCAAGTGTGCATGGAACATTCTCCAGGATAGATCACATCTTGGGTCACAAATCAAGTCTCAGTAAATTTAAGAAAACTGAAATCACATCAAGCATCTTTTCTGAGCACAACACTATGAGATTAGAAATCAATTGCAGGGAAAAAAAACGTAAATAACACAAACACGTGGAGGCTAAACAATACGTTACTAAATAACCAAGAGATCACTGAAGAAATCAAAGAGGAAATCAAAAAATACTTAGAGACAAATGACAATGATACACGACAATCCAAAACCTATGGGATGCAGCAAAAGCAGTTCTAAGAGGGAAATTTATAGCAATGCAAGCCTACCTCAAGAAACAAGAAAAATCTCAAATAAACAATCTAAGCTTACACCTAAAAGAACTAGAGAAAGAAGAGCAAACAAAACCCAAAGTTAGGAAAAGGAACAAAATCATAAAGATCAGAGCAGAAATAAATGAAACAGAAACAAAGAAAACAATAGCAAAGATCAATAAAACTAAAAGCTGGTTCTTTGAGAAGATAAACAAAATTGATAAACCATTAGCCAAACTCATCAAGGAGGGAGAGGACTCAAATCAATAAAATTAGAAATGAAAAAGGAGAAGTTACAACAAACACTGCAGAAATACAAAGCATCCTAAGAGACTACTACAAGCAACTCTATGCCAATAAAATGGACAACCTGGAAGAAATGGACAAATTCTTAGAAAGGTATAACCTTCCAAGACTGAACCAGGAAGATATAGAAAACAGGAACAGACCAATCACAAGTAATGAAATTGAAACTGTGATTAAAAATCTTCCAACAAACAAAAGTCCAGGACCAGATGACTTCACAGGTGAATTCTATCAAACATTCAGAGAAGAGCTAACACCCATCCTTCTCAAACTCTTCCAAAAAATTGCAGAGGAAGGAACACTCCCAAACTCATTCTATGAGGCCACCATCACCCTGATACCAAAACCAGACAAAGATACTACAAAAAAAGAAAATTACAGACCAATATCACTGATGAACAGAGATGCAAAAATCCTCAACAAAATACTAGCAAACAGAATCCAACAACACATTAAAAGGATCATACACCATGATCAAGTGGGATTTATCCCAGGGACGAAAGGATTCTTCAGTATATGCCAATCAATCAACGTGATACACCATATTAACAAACTGCAGGATAAAAACCATATGATCATCTCAACAGATGCAGAAAAAGCTTTTGACAAAATTCAACACACATTTATGATAAAAACTCTTCAGAAAGTGGGCATAGAGGAACCTACCTCAACATAATAAAGGCCATATATGACAAACCCACAGCAAACATCATTCTTAATGGTGAAAAACTGAAAGCATTTCCTCTAAGATCAGGAACAAGACAAGGATGTCCACTCTCACCACTATTATTCAACATAGTTTTGGAAGTCATAGCCACAGCAATCAGAGGAGAAAAAAAATAAAAGGAATACAAATTGGAAAAGAATTAAAACTGTCACTGTTTGCAAATGACATGATACTACACATAGAGAATCCTAAAGATGCCACCCGAAAACTATTAGAGCGAATCAATGAATCTGGTAAAATTGCAGGATACAAAATTAATGCACACAAATCTCTTGCATTCCTATACACTAATGATGAAAAATCTGAAAGAGAAATTAAGGGAACCCTCCCATTTGCCATTGCAACAAAAAGAAAAAAATACCTAGGAATAAACCTACCGAGAGAGACAAAAGACCTGTATGCAGAAAACTATAAGACACTGATGGAAGAAATTAAAGATGATACAAACAGATGGAGAGATATACCATGTTCTTGGATTGGAAGAATCAATATTGTGAAAATGGCTATACTACCCAAATCAATCTACAGATTCAATGCAATCCCTATCAAATTACCAATGGCATTTTTTTCAGAACTAGAACAAAAAACCTTAAAATTTATATGGAGACACAAAAGACCCCGAATAGCCAAAGCAGTCTTGAGGGAAAACAACGGAGCTGGAGGAATCAGACTCCCTGACTTCAGACTATACTACAAAGCTACAGTAATCAAGACACTGGCACAAAAACAGAAATACAGATCAACGGAACAGGATAGAAAGCCCAGAGATAAACTCACGCACCTGTGGTGAACTAACCTATGACAAAGGAAGCAAGGATATACAATGGAGAAAAGACAGTCTCTTCAATAAGTGGTGCTGGGAAAACTGGACAGCTACATGTAAAAGAATGAAATTAGAACACTCCCTAACACCATACGCAAAAATAAACTCAAAATGGATTAGAGACCTAAATGTAAGACCAGACACTATAAAACTCTTAGAGGAAAACATAGGAAGAACACTCTTTGATATGAATCACAGCAAGATCTTTTTTGATCCACTTCCTAGAGTAATGGAAATAAAAACAAAAATAAACAAATGGGACCTAATGAAACTTAAATGCTTTTGCACAGCAAAGGAAACTACAAACAAGACAAGAAGACAACCCTCAGAATGGGAGAAAATATTTGCAAATGAATCAACGGACAAAGGATTAATCTCCAAAATATATAAACAGCTCATGCAGCTCGATATTAAAAAACATACAACCCAATCCAAAAATGGGTGGAAGACCCAAATAGACATTTGTCCAAAGAAGACATACAGATGGCCAAGAAGCACATGAAAGGCTGCTCAACATCACTAATTATTAGAGAAATGCAAATCAAAACTACCATGAGGTATCACCTCACACCAGTTAGAATGGGCAACCCACTACTGGGCATATACCCAGAGAAAACCATAATTCAAAAAGCCACATGCACCCCAACGTTCACTGCAGCACTATTTACCATAGCCAGGTCATGGAAGCAACCTAAATGCCCATCGACAGATGAATGGATAAAGAAGATGTGGTACATATATACAATGGAATATTACTCAGCCATAAAAAGGAAGGAAATTGGGTCATTTGTAGAGACATGGATGAATCTAGAGACTGTCATACAGAGTGAAATAAGTCAGAAAGAGAAAAACAAATAGTGCATATTAATTCATACATGTGGAACCTAGAAAAATGGTACAGATGAACCAGTTTGCAGGGCAGAAATATAGACACAGATGTAGAGAACAAACATATGGACACCAAGGGCGGAAAGCAGCGGGGCAGGGGGTGGTGGTGGTGGGATGAATTGGGAGATTAGGACTGACATGTATATATTAATATGTATAAAATGGGTAACTAATAAGAACCTGCTGTATAAAAAAATAAAATTAAATTTAAAAAATTTAAATTATAAACAAACAAATAAATATTAAAAAAAGAAGTCCACACACCACAACTAAAGATCACGCATGCCGCAACGGAGATTCCCACATGGCGCAGCCAAAATAAATAAATAAGTAAATAAACAAGCAAACAAATAAATATTTAAAACAAACCTAAAAACAAATTCAGGAGTACAGGCTTTCTTTAACCACACTGATGTTATCTGCCTCTCCATTTTCCAAGACTGAAAGTCCCCGTTCTCAGTGACATTAACCTAACTGTTTGCTTTATCACACACACACATTCACACCTGTGTGTGTAAGATGTGTGTACACATAATGTAGAAACAGCAGAAGGAAATATGCCAAAATGTTAACATTAGTGGGATAAGGGATAATGAGGGGTTTTAATTCTTTTCTTTTAACCCATTTTTATATATCCCAAATTTCTACAATAAACGTGCATTATTAGTAGTCAGACAAGAAAAAAGAATCATCTTATTTTTAAAACCACAGCTGGCTCACCACCTTTCAAACAATCCAAACTATTCTTTTATTGAATACATAGAATTCTTTAATGCATATTATGTAAACCCTACCCTTAGGATCTCAAAATCCTAACACAGGTTCCCACTGCTCCCCATACCAAACACCCACAGACCCCGGCCACCCAAAGTAAAATTCCTTACATCTCTCACAGATATTGTTTCTTCTACTATGATCTCCATCTCCGTCCCAGGCTGAACATCACTCCCAACAGCGAAAAACAGGAACAGCTAAGATCAAGATAGAGTTATAAATGCAATTTAATTTGAATTTCAAAATTCTATAAATATATTATTTATTTCCCAAACCGGAAAGTCAATGGTCATAAAACTTTAATAAAAATCTCAAATTATGGGGGCTTCCCTGGTGGCGCAGTGGTTGACAGTCCGCCTGCCGATGCAGCGGACATGGGTTCCCGCCCCGGTCCGGGAAGATCCCACATGCCGCGGAGCGGCTGGGCCCGTGAGCCATGGCCGCTGAGCCTGCGCGTCCGGAGCCTGTGCTCCGCAACGGGAGAGGCCACAACAGTGAGAGGCCCGTGTACCGCAAAAAAAAAAAAAAAAAAAAAAAAAAAATCAAATTATGTAAAAACAAGTCTACGTTGGGTATTTTAAAGTTACAATTTAAACGATAATCTTGACTACCTAGAAATGTAAGATTCTTTATCACCAATGTTTTTACTCCTAAGAAACATCTCTCACAGACATTATTTATTCTAGTATGATCTCCATCTCTCTCTCAGTCATTCCTCAAAGAGATTTGCAATTACTATACACTATAAGCATTAACTGTGTTTTTTCTGAGTCATTAGTTTGTGATCTTATTTTCTGTCCAGAGGTCCCATATACTTTAACTCCCTGGAACCCACAGGAAAAATGTAAATCTGATCTCGTCAATTCAGTTCTTTACAGCCCTATTTTTCTTTTCTAACTCAACCGCACTTGTCATGTTTTTTCTCCTATGCTCTTGTCATGCACTACTATTTGTTAGAGTTTGGGGAAGAACAAATTAAAGGGGAGGTAGCTGGGAAAACTAATGAAGTGGATTAGTTCCATATCAGGGATCTAGGAGCCACGGGGATCCTGATATGAGTTTAGCTTATCATGATACAGAGTCTTAACAGTAAGGACTTCATTATGGCTTTTGGACTGTAATGAAAGTTTATTAAGTAGGTAGGGTTCTAGGCAAAGGTCAACCTGATAGTATTCTGTAAATAAAATGAATACCGATAAAGAAAAATCTGCTGTGAGTCTATTAAATTATTGCAGGGAGTAATTAAGTTCAAAATCAGTATACTGTATTTCATTAAATCTAGAATGCTGCCAGTTGTTACTTAATATTTTATGCACTACTAAGGAAGGAAGCATAGCATCAGCTCCAGTGCAGGATGCCACTGACTGTAAGATGCATCTTAATCTCACAGATGTTAAAATATAGGAGAAAAAGTGTACATTTTAGAATTTATGAATTATGGTGGTTGAAACTGGTGGCCACTCAACTTTAAAGATCTCCCTTAACCACAAAATTTTCACAGAAAAACAACCTTATGAATATACTTTGACATAGTATTTCTGAATTAAACACAGAGAACTACATGGATGTATTCCTAAATAAAAGGTATCATTTAAGGAAAAGAAAAATTTTAAGAAAAACAGTATTACTGCAGTAGTTAAGGAGTGAATCATACAATTAAGAACTTCTGATCACAGTAAGGCTGGTTTGGGTCTGTCAGGTGATCTCCTTTTACCTGAGAAGAAGTTGGTGCTTTTCCAGGACACAGTCCCAATGAACTCCCCATCTTCAATTCTGCTTCCTTCAAAGTATAATTGTCTGGCACTAAAAAGAATTTTGATAACATGGTAAATGGTATTAATTCCTACCTTTGGGCAAACTACTACACTGAAATCAGCCTTTCTTTGTAAATCAAGAATGTTAAGAAAGAAAAAAACTGAGTTATACTCCATGCAAAAGGATTATATACAGTTATGTTTGATCTTAGATTTTCTCACTCTAGGACGTATGCTCTTGTTATCTGTACAGCAATGCTAAGAAATAAGAGGCAGCTATGAATGTTCTAGATTCATACTTAACAAAAGAGAGCTGTTGTCTGCATGGATTATGTAATATTCTGAATTGATTCATGCATGATGGACTAGCTTCTTCCAAGTTTAAAGCTGCTATGGTGACTACCATCAAAAGAGTAAATTAAGTCTAATGACAAGACGTGTTACAGAGGTAAAAACCAAGGCTCTGGTTACTGTGATAACTGGTATCATGATGAAATCAGCAAAACAAATAAACTTTGATAATACATCTAGAAAGATACAACTAGGGCAAAACCATGACTAAAATGCATGTCAGCTAATCAGAAAGACAGGTGTTTTCCTTTAGAAAACAGAAGTGTTTGATTTTTGGTTAGGACTGTCTGTAATTCACAAGGAAGACACCTGGGTGAAAGTCTGTTCTATAAACCAGTTTCTAAAAGGTAACTTAAGAATATTAGGTATTGGAAGTCACTGTTTAAGGTAAAAGTGTTGAGAAAGATAGGTGGCATGAGTAGGTGCCAGCTTTTGAAGGCTACCAAAAAGATTTACCTGGACAAAGAAGCTTCCCGTCTCTATCAATAGGCCTCAAACAGCTGTCCTCGGCTATAAATAAAAAGATGCTGGTTAGTGCAGCAAACAAACAAAACCAAAGAGAGATGCTATACTGTGTTAATTAGCAGGACGCTAAAAAAACAAAAAAACAAGCAAAAAAACACGTACAGGCAGTCTTCCCTTTGCACAGCAGTGCAGGACCCTAAGAACACCTGTGCAAGTTGAAACTGTGCACAGAAATCTTAAAAAAAAATTATGATTGTACCGTGACCTTTAAAATTTTTTGTCGGGCTTCCCTGGTGGCGCAGTGGTTGAGAGTCCGCCTGCCGATGCAGGGGACATGGGTTCGTGCCCCGGTCTGGGAGGATCCCACGTGCCGCGGAGCGGCTGGGCCCGTGAGCCATGGCCGCTGAGCCTGCGCGTCCGGAGCCTGTGCTCCACAACGGGAGAGGCCACAACAGTGAGAGGCCCGTGTACCGCAAAAAAAAAAAAAAAAAATTTTTTTGTCAAAACATTAAAAACTGTCAGTTATACATCTACAGTGAAATAAAAAAATAGCAAACTAATATTTACACTGTAATTTAAAACACTACAGGGGGCTTCCCTGGTGGCGCAGAGGTTAAGAATCCGACTGCCAATGCAGGGGACACGGGTTTGAGCCCTGGTCTGGGAAGATCCCACATGCCACGGAGCAACTAAGCCCGGGCGTCACAACTACTGAGCCTGCGCTTTAGGGCCCGCGAGCCACAACTACTGAGCCCACATGCTGCAACTACTGAAGCCCATGCGCCTAGATCCCGTGCTCTGCAACAAGAGATGCCACCGCAGTGAGAAGCCTGTGCACTGCAACGAAGAGCAGCCCCCACTCGGCACAACTAGAGAAAGCCCGCGCTCAGCAACCGAGACCCAACACAGACAAAAATAATAGATTAAAAAAAGAAAACACTACAGTAGACACTGAGAATTAAAATGTTTTCTTTGTAAAAAACACAAGAATAGTTTAAATAGGGATTGCTTTTGTCTTGTAGAGCTTGCAGTACACGGTGAACATCTTCTCTAGCCCCTAATGATAATCTAAGTTTGGATCAGCTTCCAGTATTTTGTTTTGTACTTTCAATTTCATGAAATATCTCCAAGAGCTCCTTTAATATGAAGTGTTTCTGCCAGCGTCGACTCCTCTGGGATATCTTCATATACTTTTCATCACAACCACTTTCCTCACTCCTGTGAGTTTATGTTAAGTTCCTCTGGCTGCACATCTGGATCCTCTCAAATGACAGCAGTGTCAGCATTCCCACAGCCAGCTATTTCTTCTACAGCTCCATATACTTTTGTTTCTCTCTCTCTCTCTCTTTTTTTAATATATTTATTTATTTATTGGCTGTGTTGGGCCTTTTGTGGCTGCGTGCGACTTTCTCTAGTTGCAGTGAGCTGGGGTTGCTCTTTGTTGTGGTGTGTGGGCTTCTCATTGCGGTGGCTTCTCTTGTTGTGGAGCACGGGCTCTAGGCGCAAGGGCTTCAGTAGTTGTGGCTCTTGGGCTCTAGAGCGCAGGTTCAGTAGTTGTGACGCATGGGCTTAGTTGCTCTGCGGCATGTGGGATCTTCCCGGACCAAGGCTCGAACCCGTGTCCCCTGCATTGGCAGGCAAATTCTTAACCACTGCACCACAAGGGAAGTCCCATACACTTTTGTTTCTCTCCTGCACTTTCACAATTGTTGGCTACTTCGATTATCCGTTCTTGTAAAATGTTACCTGAGTTTACCACTGGGAGAAAAGGAGGCAATAAACTACACACTTTGCTGTCTACGTGGTGAAATTAATAGCAGCTATGCACTGACCAATCACTGATAGGCTTTAAAGAGTGAAGTAACTGGCCACTGACCACGATGTACATGTTATTTCACAGTGATCTGTAGACTAAAGAGTTAGTAGCAAAGTTTGTACTTTATGCAATTACTCAGTTAATATCCAGTGGCAGCTGAAATTTGAACCATGCTGCTGGGTAACGGTGATGAACGGTGGCCATTGAAATTCATGTGTATTAGAACTGCACAGACTCTGCCTAGATAGGTGATTTTTATGCTTAGTTATTAGTAAATGGATTAGGGCCAGTATGCCCTGTTTTTGAGGATGCAAAGACTCCTGCTTTGTGGGAAGAAGTATATTAGGTTTTAATTCCAAACAATTCTTACCAGGTTGCATATGCGGTGGGGGAATTCAAAGGGGTGGAGGCTTCTGAGAGGGCAAGAATGCCATGGGCCTTAGAAGTTCTATCTTTATCTGAACAGAACAGAATCTCTTTGAGATTCCTGAGTTCTAGCCCTTATACTACAGTAATGTGAAGCCAGCATAGAATTCTAATACAAACTCCTTGACAACTGAAACAGCTTATGTAAAAGAGTTCTCCAATTTAAAAAATGTTAATTTAAAAAACTGTTTTTAAAAAAAATTTTCACTTTCATTCAACACACACCATGTATCTTCTATGTGCCAGGCACTGTCCTAGAAGCTGACAATAAGAAAAACAGCCATGGACTCTGCCCGCAAAGAGCCTCATCTAATGGGGGAGGTGGACATTCATAACACAAAACACAGGTAGTTACAGTGTAAGTGCTACGAAGGGAAGGACAGGGCGTTAGAGTACGAGAGACAGATTAACTGAGATTGTGTAGCCAGGAATGACGGAAATAACATTTCAGCTGAGACCAAATGAGTGACTGAAGTTAGCAGATGAAGAGTAAAGGGAACAGAGTTCAAAAAAGATTACAGGACTAAGAAGTCGCAGGGGGGCTTCCCTGGTGGTGCAGTGGTTAAGAATACCTGCTGATGCAGGGGACATGGGTTTGATCCCTGGTCCGGGAAGATCCCACAGGCTGCGGAGGAACTAAGCCCGTGCGCCACAGCTACAGAGCCTGCGCTCTAGAGCCCGGGAGCCACAACTACTGAAGCCTGTGCGCCTAGAGCCCAAGCTCCGTAACAGGAGAAGCCACCACAGTGAAGAGCAGCCCCCGCTCTCCACAACTAGAGAAAGCCCACGCGCAGAAACAAAGACCCAACGCAGCCAAAAATAAATATGTAAAAACAAAAAAACAAAAAACCTCCCTCTGCTTTAAAAAAAAAAAAAAAGAAGTCTCGGGGGTGGAAGAGCGCCTGTGACCAGAAATTCCACAAAGTCAGCATGGGAAGTACGCTGTGAATAAGCAGGTGAGTGGACTGCAAGGAGGTCAGTTAGGCAGTGGTCAGACGAAGCAGGTTCCTGTAGGCCAGGAGCCCGCAGGCAATACACTACCAAGTACAAAGAGCACAACAGGGCTTTGAGCAGAGGGTGACATGATCTGATTCACCTACGTTTAAGAAGATCACTTGCTATGTAAAGAATAGTTTGGAGGGAAGAAGGAGTGGAAAACATGGGAAGACAACAAACTATTAATTTTAATAAACCATATATCCTTTTTTTTTTTTTTGCGGTACGCGGGCCTCTCACCGCTGCAGCCTCTCCTGCTGCGGAGCACAGGCTCTGGACGCGCAGGCCCAGCGGCCATGGCTCACAGGCCCAGCCGCTCCGTGGCATGTGGGATCCTCCCGGACCAGGGCACGAACCCACGTCCCCTGCATTGGCAGGCGGACTCTCAACCACTGCGCCACCAGGGAAGCCCGCATAAACCGTATATTCTTAAGTAACTTTACTGAAGTATAATTTACTTATAATAAAACACATCCAGTTTAAGCGCACAGTTTAAAAGAGGTCGATGAAAACACTCAGTAACCACCAGCAAATTGAGATATAATTTGCGTCACACCCCAAATTCCCTCATGCCACTCCGTAGTCAATCCCCCATCCCCTGATTCTGATCTGCCTCTGTAACTACAGCTTAGGTTTTCTTTTTTGACAATTTCACATCGATAAGTGGAATCCTAAGAGTATTACTCTTTTGTGACTAGCTTCTTTTGCCTGGCATGATGTCTTTGAGATTCACCCATGTTTTGCATGGGGTGGTAGTTTACTTCTTTTATTGATGAATAGTATCCCATTGTATGGATACACCACAATTTGTTCACCTGCTCACTGGTATTTGGATTGTTTCCCATTTTTGGTTATGAACATTTACATACAGTGTTTGTAAGGATACATGTTTTAATTTTTCTTGGATAAAAATCCAGAATTGATAAGTGAATGTTTAAATTCACAGGAAATAAGCTAACTCCTTACCAAAGTGACTGTACCATTTTACACTCCCACCAACAATACACGGCAGTCCCAGTTGCTCCACATCTTTGATGTCACTTAGTTTTGTCAGCATCTAAAATTTTAATCATTCTACTAAGCGTGCAGTGATGTGTCATTACGGTTTTAGTTTGTTGGCTAATGATACTGAGCATCTTCTCCTGTGCTTATTGGGTGTTCATAGATAGATTTTCTTTTGTAAAGTGGCTTCTCAATTTGGGTTGTCTTCTGATTAGGTTATAAGTATTTTTTATATATCCTGGATGCAAGTCTATTGTCAAATACACGTTTTATAATTTTTTCTCTCAGTTTGTGGCCTGCCTTTTCAAATGCCTTTAAAATTTTGTAGTAGTCCAATTTGCTTTTACTTTCATGGTTTGTACTTTCTAAGTCCTGCTTTTAAAAAAAATCTCTTCCTTATGGTAAAAATAACAGAGATTTTCTATGTTTTCCCCCAGAAGTTTTATAGTTTTAGGTTTTAACATTGAAGTCTATGATCTTTTTTTTTTTTTTTAATTTATTTTTGGCTGTGTTGGGTCTTCGTTGCTGCGCACGGGCTTTCTCTAGTTGTGGCAAGCGGGGGTTACTGTTCATTGCAGTACGCGGGCTTCTCATTGCAGTGGCTTCTCTTGTTGTGGAGCATGGGATCTAGAGCGCAGGCTTCGTAGCTGTGGTGCACGGGCTTAGTTGCTCTGCGGCATGTGGGATCTTCCCGGACCAGGGGTTGAACCCACATTCACTGCATTGGCAGACGGATTCTTAACCACTGCGCCACCATGGAAGTTCTATGATCCATTTTGAGTTCATTTTTTACATGATGTAAGGCAAAGTTGGAGGTTCATTTTTGCATCTATTGATATCCAATTGGTCCAGCACTGTATGCTGAAAGAGTATCTTTCCCCATGGAAATACCTTGGCACTTCTGTTGAAAGTCAACTGACTAAATATGTTTGCATCTATTTCTGGCTTTTCAATGTAGTTCTGTTGTAAATACTCTGGAACATTTCCACATACGATCTCTGTTGCACATTCTTCTTCTTAAAAGAGCCCTTAAAAAATGTAAAACCTATTCTTAGCTCACTGGCTGTGCAGAAACAGGTTGTAGGCCACACGTGCTGAACTCTGCTCCATATGTCTACCCTCATGACTACACACACTGTCTTGATTTCTACAGTTTCAGAGTAAGTCTTGAAATCAGATGGTGTAACTCTTCCAACTTTGTTCTTTATTTCCTCTAAAATTGTTATGGATACTTTAGGTTCTTTGCATTTCCACATAAATTTAAGAATCAGTTTGTCAATTACTACCAAAAAAAAAGAAACCTGCCAGAATTTTGAGTGAGAATGCACTGAATGTACAAATAAATTTTGAGAGAATTAGCCTCTTAATAGTACTGTGTCTTCTGATCCAAGAATATGGTACATCATTTAATTTATTTGGGTCTTCTTTTATTTTTCATGGCAATCTTTTCTAGTTTCTGGTGTACAGGTCTTCTACATATCTTGTTAAATTTACCCCCAAGTATTTCATGATAGTTTATGCTATTATAAATGTTTTCTTAACTTAATTTTCCATTTTTTTGTTGCTAGTAAACATATATGGATTTTTCTATATTGATTTTGAGTTCTTGTTAAACTCACTTATTAATTCTGGTAGTTTTAATAAGATCCTTGGAGTACACAAATAGATGATAAGCACATCAACAGTGCTCACCATCACTGCATCAGGAAAATGCAATTAAACACAGGAGATACCAATTCACGGTCACTAAAATGGCTACAATCAAAAAGACAATTATAGGACTTCCCTGGTGGCACAGTGGTTAAGGATCCACCTGCCAATGCATGGGACACAGGTTTGAGCCCTGGTCCAGGAAGATCCCACATGCCGTGGAGCAACTAAGCCCATGCGCCACAACTACTGAGCCTGCGCTCTAGAGCCTCCGAGCGACAACTACTGAGCCCATGTGCCACAACTACTGAAGTCCGCACGCCTAGAGCCCGTGCTCCACGATAAGAGAAGCCACCGCAGTGAGAAGCCCGCACTCGCCGCAACTAGAGAAAGCCTGTGTGGAGCAACGAAGACCCAACACAGCCAAAAATAAACAAAATAAATAAATAAAAATTAAAAAAAAAAGACAATTATAAATATTGGCAAGGATGTGAAGAAACTGCAACCCTGATACATTGTCAGTGGGTACGTAAATGATTCAGCCACTTTGGAAAACAGTATGGCAGTTTCTTATAAAGTTAAACATAACTTTGCCATATGACCCAGCAATTCCGAGCACTGAAAACACAGGTCTATACGAAGACATAATGTTTATAGCAGAATCAGTCATAAAAGCCCCAAAGTGGAAACAATCCAAATGTCCATCAGCTGGTAATGAACAAACAAAATGTGGTATATCCATACAATGCATACAATCCAGTCAGCAATAAAAAGGAACAAACTACTGGAACATGCTGAATCATGGATGAATCTCAAAAATGATACGCTGAGTGAAAGAAGCCAGACACAAAGGACTACATATAACATGCTTTCATTTACATGAAGTGGCCAGAAAAGCAAGTCAAAAGAAACAGAAAGTAGATGAATGGCTGTCAGGCGCTTGCTATGCAAATGGGAACGAGATCTTTTTGGAGTGATGAAACTGTTCTAAAATTGGATTGCTGTGATGGCTGTATGACTTTATACATTTACTAATAATCACTGAATTACGCTTAAAATGGATGTTTTATGATATGTAAATTATACCTCAATAAAGCTGTAAAAGAAAACTTAATGCCGAGTGAAGAGTGAGTTTGTAGAATGTTATATTCATTAAGATAGAATTTACATAAATGTAAAAATACAATATACACACACACACATATACAGAGAGAGGTATAATATATATAGTGCAATGTGAATGCACGAACTAGATACACACCCAAATCAGATATACTGGTTGCATCTGGGGAGGGATGATAGGTCTGAGGAGGAGAACATAGAGGACTTTATTTGTAATGTTTGAGGCAAAAACAAACACATGGCAAGATGTTAACATTTGTCCATTTTGGGTGGCAGATACGTGAGTTTTCCCTAAATTATTTTTTGTACTCTCCCATATTTTTTTCAATTAAAAATCAAAACAAAACTAAATTAAACCAAAAAACCAAAAGCAAACATAAATGATTACCTAGTTCCTTCATTAATTTTAATTCCTTTATGGCTTTAATTCGAATATCAAACACCACCTAAAATAGAGAAATAAACTAATGACTGTGTATAAGTTAAAAGCAATGGGAGGAGAGGAAAATGAAGATTGTCAGTGTGTGCATATACAGGTTGAGTTATTAATTACCTTACATTTAGCAGTTTTTGCCTACTTGAAAAAAATTATTTTTCCATCTCTGAAATTATTTTCTCTCTTCTACAAAGTCAAAGGCAAAAACTTAGATCTTGGTTAAGTTTGCACCAAATTGATAATAATTGGAATGGAAAGGCTGCCTACAGAAAACTTTAGAAAACCAAAGACTTAATAGTAGCGAAAGGCAAAAGTGGACAAACAGTTAACTTTTCTGATGATAGCAAACAAAAGAAACTATACGTTTCTTTAAGAATGATGAATTCAGGGCCAGTGCAGGGGACACGGGTTCAATCCCTGGTCTGGGAAGATCCCACATCTTCATTAATAATATAATATAAAACTGTACTAATAATTAATAAGCATTAATAATATAAAAATGTACTAATCCAAGGGTACTATTTAAAATTTCTACTTAAATTATTTTAGATTGTGTTTTCTTTTCTTTTTTAAAATTTAGGCTAATTGCCTCTAGGGCATAAAATCGTGGAAATTTAGGGGTAAAGCTGACGACAGAGATCATTGACTCTACCTCCCCACCGGTAACCCCTGCTATGCCCCCCACTGGGCCAAGAAGGAACAGAGCCTGCAGTAATCAAGGACTGCACCAGCCTCCCATTCGGGGTCAGGGCGGTAGGTCTCCTGAGCTTTGGGGCATTGACCTTATACTGTTCCCACTAATGTGCAAACAAACCTTAAGAAACTATAATTTTATATAAAAGAAAACACTCTAAATTTTTAAAATAAAGTTACAGAAGAACTTAATAAATGGAGACTACATAAATATAAAAAGATGTTTCCTGAAATAATGTTTAAGGAAACCAGTATAATAGTCTTAAATGGAAAACTGAAAAAACTCCCTCTGAAGAGCAACTGGCTTTATACAGAGCACAGAGTATACTGTAGAGCAATTTAAGATAAACTTTAAAAAACCCAAACACCAAAGAACACAAAACCAAAACATATATACCTTGTTTTAAAAATACAGAAAAGGCTCTTGAAAATAGCATTTCACAGTTATCAAAGTCAGAAGATTCCATGAACTAATTAAAAAGGTAACTCCCACATTCTAATTCTAGGCTTTGGAGGGAAAAAAAGGCATATATTTTCTTGAAATATGCCAAGGGCTAACAAAGGTAAATAAGCAATAATCAAATGTTACAAATAAAAAGGTGATTTCTTAAGATTTAGAAGTTTACTGAGACACCTATTCTGAAAGATTAAGGTACTGCTTTCTAAGTAAAACTGTATTAATGAAAAGCTGTCAAGCACACTTCAATCAATATCTACTCACTGTGTTAAGAGTTGCTGATATTTTAACTTGTTCTTCTTCAGAGTCTAATTGGCATAAATTTTTAACTTGGAGCCAGTCAACCTCATTCACACTGGTGATCCACTTCCCTCGTTTGGTCAACAAACTGTAGGGTAAAAAGACATTTAAAAAATGTGTCTTTATACAGCCCTTTTATGGATCAGAGAGGATTGGAAAATGCATGCTTTTCTTTAGGCACCACTTCCAAAATTCTGCATGTGTCACTTAATGTGACTAATTAAAGGTGACCAAGTTCTACTGAGTTGGGTTTGTGAAAGTTCACTATCTTTTTAGGGTAGTGTTAAGATAGTATTCCACGGAGTCTATATTCATGATTCCAAATATTCTTTGATTTATACAAATAATTTGTTGCTACATTTTTCAAAGAGAACTGTTGTAATTGAACAATCACTTGTTAACGTCTACCTGCATGCTGCAATCACCAGTGGAGCTTTAAAAGAGTACCTACGCCAAAAGCCCACCCACAGACTTTAGTAGTTTAAAAGCAGGACAGCATGCACAGCCGTGCAGACTGACGTTGAATAAAAGTACCACATCTGGACTTCCCTGGTGGCGCAGTGGTTGAGAGTCCGCCTGCTGATGCAGGGGACGCGGGTTCGTGCCCTAGTCTGGGAAGATCCCACATGCCGCGGAGCGGCTGGGCCCGTGAGCCATGGCCGCTGAGCCTGCGCGTCCGGAGCCTGTGCTCCGCAACGGGAGAGAGGCCACAGCACTGAGAGGCCCGCGCACCGCAAAAAAGAAAAAAAGTACCACATCTAATGCATATCATTCACATCATATACATTGTATGTTTATATTTTTATTATAGAGATTTTAAAAAATTTTATGATAGCAGATGGCAGTGGAGTGTCTTGTTCTAACAAGATTTTCCTGCAGATAATAGTAAAGGTTCTTGAGGAAGGAGTGACTTCTTACTAATTCACACAGAGGCACTGAGTGGGCTAGCAAAGTCCTCTTTGCGAGTGTGTAGCAGAGCCCCAAAACACAATTCTACTCTTCATTTCAGTTATTCCACTCTGGGACTCCACCTTGAGTTAGCAATCTTAAATAGAGCAAAGTTTTAAGCACAAAGATGTTCCCTGAAGACCACCTTAAAATAATGAAAAACTGGATGATAACAAGGATGCTAGCTGAACTATCTAGCTCTTAACTTCTTCAATCCTTACAACTGTAGGAAGCTGGTACTAATTACTATGCTCATTTTACAGAAGAAGAAATTAAGCAGAGAGAGATGATGTAACTTGCCCACGGTCACACTACTAGTAAGTGATAAAGCTGCAAACAAAGCCAGGCAGCCAGCCCCCAAGGCCTTGTCTCTACCCACTCCTCACACAGGAGCAGTCAGGTAACCTCTAACATCAACACAGGTTATTATGCAGCCATGAAATGAGGTTTATGAAGAGCCTTCAAACATGAGAGGAGGGCTTCCCTGGTGGCGCAGCGGTTGAGTGTCCGCCTGCCGATGCAGGGGACACGGGTTCGTGCCCCGGTCCGGGAAGATCCCACATGCCGCAGAGCGGCTGGGCCCGTGGGCCATGGCCACTGAGCCTGCGCGTCCGGAGCCTGTGCACTGCAACGGAAGAGGCCACAACAGTGAGAGGCCCGCGTACCGCAAACAAAACAAAACAAAACAAAACAAAAACATGAGGGGAAAGCAGGATATAACTATTTATCTACAATATCATCAGTATTATGTTTAAAAAGGAAAAAACCGGACTTCCCTGGTGGCACAGTGGTTGAGAATCCGCCTGCCAATGAAGGGGACATGGGTTCAAGCCCTGGTCCGGGAAGATCCCACATGCCGCGGAGGAACTAATAAGCCCGTGCACCACAACTACTGAAGCCCGCAGGCCTAGAGCCCGTGCTCTGCAACAAGAGAAGCCACTGCAATGAGAAGCCCGCGCACCGCAATGAAGAGTAGCCCCCGCCCACTGTAACTAGAGAAAGCCCGCGCGCAGCAACGAAGACGCAATGCAGCCAAAATATATATATATAAAATAATAAATTAATAGGAAAAAACCCTTCAAAACAAAAACCCAATTATTCGAGCTCAGAAAGCTAACAGTGACAGACACTGCATGAGTGGTATGGTGATGCTGTTTTGGGTCTCCTGTCTTCACCTCTGTGTTTCCCAAGTCCTAATGAAAGTATATTACTTTCTAAAAAGAAATTTATAATAAACTTTTAAATTAAATAAACAAGATAGGGAAATAAATGTCTGGAAAACACTTGTCGAAAAGAGAGTGATACATGTAATCCAAAATAGACACACTTCACAAGTGCTCTGCTTCTCTATGTCACAGCCACTAATAAACAATAATACAGAGCCTCTGTAATCTACGTATATTCACAGCACTGATAAAGCAGGGAACTGATTCATTGGTCATAACCTGAAGTCTTCAATGTGTGGAAATTGCGGGGGTTACAGTGTATGATAATGCTGTCCACAGAAGTGTACTGGCACAGACATGGGTAACAAAAATGAAGAGAGGAAGCACCCCTGAGCTTCAAATGTGACTTACAGGAACCAAGGCTGCAATTCCCCAAGTAACTGCCTCACCTGGGCAGCTGGGAGGATCTCAAGCATCATAAAAAGGATTATAACAAAAAACTGAACTGCCTTCTGAGATCCTTGTGACAAGACAAATTTAGCTGTGATAATACCTTCCTCATGAAAAATTTTAGGAACTTTCTCTGTGAGAATGTGCCCTCTGTCTTATAATGAGTGCTAATCAGAATTATTTGATAAGATTCTGTTTTACTGCCAACTAATCTACACTATATCTAGCCTATACCTATATTATTCAGTTACCACATTTACCAAAAAAAAAAAAAAAAAAATCACACTACAATATCATTTTTCTCCAGGTTGCCTAACCACGAACATTCCTATTTACAATATATAGAACACAATGTCTAGAAATAAAACGAAACATTTAACTCTCATCATTATTAACATAAAGCTTTAGAGTTCTAAGATACAGCACTGTAACTACAATAAGTTTAAAAAGAATTCTCTTAGCATGTTACCTGTTACCATCATTAGAATCCTGAATTAAAATTGAGCTTCCATTTCTGAGACCTTGTTCTCTGAATGTCTTCTTCAAGTCTTCCTTGGGAATGGTGGTCCAGCTCTCTTCACCTACAGCCTCAGCACTGTTGACTAAGATGACTCCGTCTGGGATTGCACAGGCTGTGAATACACTACCTATTTCTGCATTAGATGGAAAGACATATGGAGAGTCTATCAACTGCTGACACTGCTCTTCTTCACTGCTTGTCGCCGGATGAAGAACATTTAAAAGCAGAGGTTCACAGTCACTACCAGCTGGAATCTGGATTCCGCCAACCTACAACAGTATCAAGTCAGCCATCAGTATAGCTCGTATTTGCCAAAATCAGGTCAACACAGTAATGCAGTAACGTAGACTCTTATAGAACAATTCCCATTTTTTTTTCTTTTCAAGTGAAATGAAGTTTTCACAAATGTCTTTTAAGTATCAGAAGAACAGCTTTACATTTTTGAAACTTTTTCTTAGCCATCTTTTACTTTTTAGGAGAGAAATCTGAAGTGGAGACAGACACGTGAGTCCTCAGCAGTGGTAAATTTATGAGGTGGACCGAGGACGTCCACTGAGTGGGTGAGATGCCTCACTGCTCTCTTGACTGTGCTCCCCTAAGTCGCCTCCAGCCCTAACAGTGTGACGAACTGCTCCTTCTGAATCCTCATCAAGAGTATGTACAGGGCTTCCCTGGTGGCGCACTGGTTGAGAGTCCGCCTGCCGATGCAGCGGACACAGGTTCATGCCCCGGTCCGGGAAGATCCCACGTGCTGTGGAGCGGCTGGGCCCGTGAGCCATGGCCGCTGAGCCTGCGCGTCCGGAGCCTGTGCTCCGCAGCGGGAGAGGCCACAACAGTGAGAGGCCCGTGCACCGCAAAAAAAAAAAAAAAAAAGTCTGTACAGACCCTCCTGCTCACCTATCTCAGCGCAGTGACCCACACTACGTGCCTGAAGGATACAGACTGATCACTTATTTACCTTTGTGTCTAGCTTCTGACACACAGCCTGACACCATGGAGGTGTTCTACAACTATCTCTTGAACATATAACCAACACTGATTGTACTTAAAATTTACTGGATATTTCAGCAGTTTTCGAATATGTAAGTGCCGTCATATACGCTGAATAAAATTTTATCACAACTTAAAAAATATCCAAAACTCTCATGAACATTTCTTCAACACTTATTTACCTCCACCCCATTCCATACAAAGATGTCTTCCCCATCAGCAATTTCAATTTCACACAGTGTCAGGTGATCTCCTAGGAAGATGAGATTATCAGTGAAACCATTCTCATGATCATCAAAAAAAAATTTAACTAAAGCAACAGCCAAGACACAAACAGTTGTTTGAAAAGAAGCATTCTCATTGAGGAAACTAAGAAAAAGGGAGTAATTATGTTTGTTATATTGATATTATTTTATATTATTTTTATCTTTATTCCTTCCATCACACTCTTTAGCCTTTTTTTTTTCTTCTGTTTTCATTTTATGTAAGCATTTCCCCCATAAGATTTGTGGGCATGAGAGCAGGAAAAAAAAAAGTTAATATAAAAGGTCAACTGTACTTGACACTGTGAACATGGGGAAGGCTTACACATCAAACGGTCCTCACTCACCCACTAATGAGCTGTATGACCTTGTGGACTTCAAGCCTCTACGCTTCAGTTTTCATTTATGAAATGGGGATAAAAGAATTTTGTGAAAATCAAATTAGATAATTTACACAAAACAGTTATCTCAGTATTTGGCACCATGAAGTCCAAGACAACTGTTACTGCTGCTACTGCTATTATTGTTCTGTTGTTATTTAAAGGAAGTACTTTTAAGCTCCTGAAGTACTTCTGTTTTGCTACAAAGTCTGAAGCTGAGATTGGATTAAAAAAACAAGCCATATTTAACAAGATTTAAATGGTTTCAAACCATTTTGCTCAGAAGTTTGGGGTAATATAAAAAAATTTCCAAAGCCTTTAAGAAAAAATTTGTTTAGGTAGAGAAGTAGCCTTAATTTCAGAAAATACAAAACATTTCCATGTTAGCAAAATTTCACACATTACATATATTGGATACATTATAAACTAAATAAATTGTTTTATTAAATATGAAAAACTAAATATATTATTTGTTAAAACCAATGTGATGAGAACCTGCATAGCTAAGAATAGTCGTATGTAGGGGAAAGACTGGCCAAGAGCAGAAAGTCTCAGATGAGCCCCACAAAACGTACAGATGAGCCCCACAAAATGTACATATACACAATAAGTTGCTGTGTTTTAACATTTCTCTTACCATCAAGTGTCTGGTAAACATGAAGTCCTGCTGGTACAAACTTTGCAACACTAAGAACCATATCTCCTTCCCAAAATTCTAACAGCTGCAGAATATGAATGAAAGAAAAGAGAACAATGAAAAATCACACATAGATCACTTTTCCAGGTTAAGTAAGAAGAGCACTGTGCCAATTTACTTATGTAGCTGACACAGGGAACAAGAAAATGAACACGACAATCCCCATCCTGCACCAAAAATGAGGAAAGCAGACATGTTTCAATGTTAAATCAGTCAAAGCCAAAGATGGTTAATCTCACATCCATTAGTGACTGAAGAACCCTGACATACACAAAGAGCACAATGACCATCTAAACAACAACCATTTCTACTTAATTTATGGGAAGATCACTTTTATCAGAAGGCAAAATGATCAGTGTGCCAGCCCAGGAATCCTGGTCCAAAAGAGCAAAAATGACGTGTTTAATCAGTACTGCTCAGGGAAGAGCAGCACACACGAATACTCTTGTTTCTTGAAAGGAATGTCTCCCACTGTAAATTTAAAAAGTAGCATTACCAGTTTATTTAGTAGATTACCAGGGATTTGTTTTTTAAGTTTCTAGCTCCAAGACTCTGGGGACTGTGGTAACCTCACCAAAACAATGTCACCAATAAAGGTCAGTCCTATTTAGTCCCTCTCCACAATATCACAAGATAGTTCTCTTAAAAAGAAATTTCATACTTACACATGATTACTTAACTGTCAGTCTCTCTGCCTCTTGCCAGTGGCTTAATTCTAAGATGTGCCACTGGCAGAGATGTGCACTTAAACCATCAAAAAGCAGACTGGCATGAAATCTAAACCTTGTAAAGGTGACCAAGGTCTTCTCCACTTGAAACGCTACCTTAGGCAGGGCCAAACCTCCAAGTCCACCTATATCGTCACTGCCAGGATTGGCTCAGAAATAAACTTTGAGTGGAAAAGTTCAGAAGTACTAGATAATTTTAGAAATTTTGATCCTGATCCAACATTTAAATATTCAAATCAACTAAAGTTAAAGAAGAAATTGGCCTGCTTTTCTCTGTACAAGAGGAAAATCAAAAGAAAGCTAATAATTTTGGTAAATGATACAGTTTTTCAGAAAATTCACTTAATTCTGGGTGGGGGGGAAGCTCACATTTTCTATTTCCCTTTTCCTCTATCAGGAAGTAGTGTGGAGTGAAGTATAATTAAGAGGAAAGAAAGAGTAGGGAGACCAGGGCTGGAGTCCTAGTTCTACTGCTAACTAGATGTCTGACCCTGGGCAAGCCATTAGATCTCTTTAAATCACAATTTCCTCATCTTTAAAATGGGGTTATCTTGCCCTCATGAGGTTAAAGAATCAAATGATAGAATTTATATGAAAACATTTTAAGTAAAATAAAGAGCACTGTTGTCGTCGTCGTTAAAACACGACGGGATAAATAATTTAGAGACAATGATTACAACGATGTTTGCTTTTACTATAGACCAGTAGACATTTTCCTTCACTTAGGAATCTTATTAATAAATGTCATTCTACACTGAAAGGTAGAAAAGTTAGTTGCTTTTATTTGTTTAGTAGCTCTTGGTTTTAGGCAACGTAATTATCTATCTTTTTACTCCTTTTAAAAGACAATTGTCTTTCATTTATTTTTCCCAAAAGAGACAACCTTATACTCTTTCTCTCCCCCAGATTAAATATACCAGGCTTGATTCTCCCCTGAAAACCTGCTGGCAGGACTCTTGAGTCTTGATTGTGCAGAAAAGCCTCCCTAAGAGACTTACAAGTGAGGGGAGAACATGTGGACCATCCCTCTATGGAAGTGGTAGATGTAGGATTTTCCTAAGCAGCTGTGAAAAATAAATAGTTGTATCCTAAACAGGAGTTTGAAAAGGAGAATCCCGCTTAAGACAGACCTGAATGTCTATTAAGAGTAAGTGAGGCTAAATTACCTGAAATATTGATTGTCGAAGATCTCCTAAAGTTTTTCTTTTATCAAACGTCAAATCCCACATGCTTTCTGTTTGAGAGACCACTGGGTGCAGAGCCCCATTGAAGAAATGATAATAAGGGCCGAGGTGGAGATGCAATTCAAAATTATTGTTTGTAGAATCACATTCTGCCCTTTAAAGAGGCATAAAAAATACATAAATGTCATGTTTTTACAGCAGATACTGTTTCATCTCAAACCAAAAATATTTGATTTACAATATAAAGAAGTTCTCCACTCCACCTAAGTAATTATAATTAACATCCTTTTCTTCCATGCTCCAAAATAACTCAGTTTAGTTTCTCAATAGCTCTGCCACGGTGAATTCCAAGGAAGATGGTTTTAATGCACACTGTGCAGTGTTACTCTGAACAAATACCGACACTTGAACTCGTCCAATACTGAGATTATAATTATGAACAAAATGCTGGAAACATCTTCCTATAACTGTGGTAAGTGCTAGATTTACAACTTCTATTTTCTCCTTGCTTCAACTAGACCCCACAGACTCTCCTATAAACTATTTGAAGTCAGCCTCATGATCCCTGGAGTCTGCTCTTTCCAAGTCAAATGGCCTCAGCAGCAGCCGGGCGCTTGCTACACTTTTCTGAACCCATTCAGCTGCTGTGAAGCACGGCACCAAAAACACTTCAGGCAGCCCCACCAACGGAGAGTTGGATGAAGCTATAGCCACCATTCAGGTACCTCAGGCACAATTCCGTGAATGTGGTCAAAGACAGCATGAGCTTTTCCATGACCACATTAAAAAGCTTAGTGCTCGCTGACTAAAACCCCATAGGCTGTTTTTGTTTTTAATACCAACTGCTAATCCACACCACTCAGGCAAGTTGGTTATCTTTCGCACTTAAGATATTCTACTCTGTTAAATTTTTATATTTTTAGTGTCTTGATTTTTGTTGAGATCTCCTCTGATCTTAATTTGCCATTCAATCTACCTATTTTTTTTCCTCAGCTTCAAATCAATGATAAAAATGTTGAACACATCCCTGCTATGTAATCAGCCCCTCAGGTCCACAAGGAGACCATGGGAACATCCATTTCCCTAATCCAGTACCCCACCGACCCAGAGAGCAAAGAACCAGTTCTTCATGGTCCAAGGTTAGACCTCAAAAGAGAATGTTCAGATCATCAAGTTCTCACAAACCACCCCTTTAATAATCCATTGTAGGCTTTTGCCCAAGATTGACATTAAGCCAAACAGTCTGTAGACTCCACATTTCCTCCCATTTGCCCACCTCTGGTCTGATGTCACTACGGGCTAGTTCTTCACAAACCACTTACACATGAGGGCAAATTTTCACAATGGGCTCTGTGCCGAGGGAATAACCTGACAGGCCAGGACACAATTCATTCAGCACAACTACGTGCTCACAGATTTCTCTAGTTTTCTTAAGCTTCAATCTCTACTTAGCGATGGCCATTTGTCATTATTTCATTCACTCTCACTGGGTAATTTCAAAGTAAAAGATACTCTCAGTATAAAAATTCAGCAGCTAATAAAAGGATACTGGCATTAAACAGTTGACTTTTTTTCCTCTTTAATTTAATTAATTCATTACTGAATACTTAAGACCTAAGTTAGATCCTCGTTCCCCAGAAAAACTATTCAAACTCTAAAAGTAATTTAAAATTACCTTTTTATTTGTAGTTCAATGTTGGCGGCATCCATTTCATTCAGCAAATGACATGGAACCCTGTACCTTGGGTTAGCTCGAGCTGTGAACAAAATTTTCCATTAACTTGTGCTGACTACATAAAAAGAGGCTGCTGAAGAGGCAGCACAGAAAACTAGAAAGGACCTCGCTGGGAGCTAGGAAAGCTTCTACTGCCTGTGTGAACATGAATTTTCTCTGGATCTCAGTTTTCACATCTTCAAATTGAAAACATTAAAACATATGAAGGGTAAACAGTTCTTTAAGCCAAGCTAGAGAATTCCATTTCTTCAACTCTTTCTAAATATACTTTTTAAAAAGAACACCTGCTGTTTTCTTCTTGATAACAAATGTAATAATTGGTCACTGTGAAAGTTCTGGAAATGATTTTTTTTGTAAAATAAATAAATATTACCTATAATCCCACTCCTAGGGAATACTGCTAAAATGCGATCTATATACTTCTGGTCTTTTTTCTGTTCTATACAATGTGTCTATACACACACACACACACACACACACACACACACACACCCCCCACACACCACGCTTATTTAAAGCAACTGGGAGTATAGTCAACAAACATGTAAGTTGCTTTTTCATTTCATATGTTGTGAATATTTTTCCAAATCTTTAAATGATTGCATAGTAGCCCATTCTATAAATAGCATAATTAATCTAACCAATCCTTTTCTGGTAGACATTTAGGTGATTTTCTGTTAGTCATTACTATAAAATAACGGGGGTAGCAAACATCCTTGAACATAAATAGGTATACACGGTCCTGATTATTTCAAGACAAATTTGTGGAAGTATAATTATTGGTTTAAGGTTTTTAAGTACATACAACCATATTGGTTGTATTACTTTATATACATACCAAATACAGAGGTAGTGCCAACTGTTGAGAACCAGGTTAACAGAAATATCTGATTTGGTAAGAAAAAGGTTGTCATTCATTGCTGTAATGATTCATGTTTTTTGGTTATGGGCCAGATGGAATTTTTTTTTTTTTGCAGTTTACTGGCTGTCCTTATTTCTTCTTTTGTACGTTAGTTATTTATATCCTTTTCCCAATTTACCACTGAGCACAATGGAATGAACGTAAGAGCACTCTACAGACGGGGAAATAAATCTGTCGTATATTTTGCTGTTTTCCACTAGCTTGTCATTTGCCTTTCGGTATTACGTAATAAGGTTTACATCACTTTTCCTCAATTTTTTTTCATTGCTTTTATGCTTAGAAAGGTCTTCTCTACCTTAAGATCAGAAAAATATTTATATTTTATGCATGTGAAGGCTCCTTTTTTACATCAACATTAAAGGAACTATAATTTCATGCAAGTGATAAATATCATCACTTGACTGTACTAACGGCTCATTCAAGTGATTAGCAACTAATCAACTTCTCAGTTGTATTTATTAATTCATTTTTCCCCTATTTATCTGAAAAGCTACCTTTTCGTGGATTAAAATCTTAAAAATACTTAGATCAACTCCTGGGCTTACTGCTCAATGGTCTGTCCAGCTCTTTGCACTAGCACTACACTGTCTTAACTGCTACAGCACCATAAATATGCTTATACTGACACAGTAAAGTTTCCTTGAGCAGTCCCTTCTTCAATTTTCATTAATTTATCTTCCCAGGTAAATTTTAGAATCATTTTGCCAAGTTCCATCCATTCATCCCCCAAAAAAGTCCATCAAGATTTTGGTTAGATCTTTATTCAAATCTTCAGCTAACTGGAAAACTGTCACTTAGTACATATTCCAATCATGTATACACTGAAGTTCAGTTCAGTGAAAAGGACAATATGTCACCTGAAGAAATTGATATATATTTCTGTAACTGTGAATTCAGCTCCCCAATATTTTTATCAGAACGATTACCATATTTTTTCCCCTCAGAAAAAAACAAAGCCCCTTCTGGTCAACAGAACAGTTATGTAATTGTTTCAGATCCAGAGAGTTAATTTCCTTTGATTCATCTGCAAATCGGTAACTGCTTTATTCTTATTCTTTACAAAAACGATCACTATGCTCAGTCTCTAAGAACAGTATCCTCATCTCTAATCATAGGTATGTCTCAATCTAAAGAGCTTTCCCAGTTGCATAAATTTGGGGAAGTGATCAAATAAAGTCTTGCAGACTGATTCATGTTAGTAGCTTCAATTCAAAAATTTATCACTGTGGGTCTCAGTGTTTAACCTCCACCATGGTATGAACTCTCTTAGAAGATTCAACAGAGGGCTTCAGAGATATTTCAATTGCTTAAAGACTTATCACCTTGACGAAAAGGAAAAAAGAAAGGAAAATAAAAGAGAACACATGAAAATAAGACCAAGGCCACTTGCAACTCAAAGACAACACATGGCCAAACTGCAGAGAGAAGCCTGAGCAGAGGACAATCACGTCTGCCCACACAACAAGAAACATGATGTGATCCAAGAAAATGCAATTTTGAAAATCTAACTACAGCCTCGTACTATTACAGGGGAAAAAACCCAGAAATATATAATCTTTAAAAAAGGACAGAATGTTGAATTTTTTCTGGTATATTTCTTACAGTTAGCTTGAAAATATTTTAAAATGTTTCAAGAGTAAACCTTCTAAAAGGGTAAACTTTCAAATAACATTCAATGTTTATCTTCTAAAGTGATCGACTTAAACAAATAGGGACATTTATCTTTCCATACCTTCAGGGGGTCTCTGCAACTGGGACTTCCGATAAAACAACATGTAGGCACTTTCTTTACCCTGAAATTGCTGTTCAATATCCTCTTCCTTAATTGGCTGGACTTGGGAATCGTTTACATCAAACCAGTGGGGACAGGAGGGTCTATCATTTAATCCTGGGGGTTCTGAAGTAAGTGTCTTCAAAAGTTGTTGATCATTTCTTCGTATATCAGACTCAGTCTGGAGAGAACAGTCCTTCAATAGACTAACTGTACTTTCATCTGAACTGAGCAGAAATATCTGAGAATGAAGCTGTAAAAACTATACAGAAAAAGAAAACAAACATTAGGTTAATGAAAAAAAATTTCATTGACATGATTACAAAATCTTTACCTTCCTTTCTGTGATTAGATATTTTAACGTCAACTTTTTGGCCTGGTCAGCTACGAGGGAAAAAAATTTCATTTGTGCCATAATAAAACATTTAATAAAACCCAGAGTGCTTTCTGTTAAATAGTCTAACAGTTATATCAAGGGAGAAAGCTGCCATGACACAATCTTAAAAATACTTTAATTATACCTGGTAATGCTGTTTTTAAAAAGTCTTTACTGAAACAGATTAGATAGAACAAACACTTCTGAAATGTTTAAAGCAATCGAAACAGAGCACAAAACAAAGGCAATTATACAATGAAGTACCATAGAAGATAATTTCAAAACTAGTGACTCAGACAAACTGCTGGGATATAGTCACAATTATAAGCTTACATTAACTAAATTCAGTGTTGTCTGTCCCGGAGGCTGACAGGCTAGCTCAGGAAATCAGAACACTGCAAGGCTGAAGTCATAATCTCAGAGACTATCATTTCTCAGGTTCCTCCACCTAAAGGATTACGAAGAAAAAAACCTTCTCTCCCCATTGCCTATCCCACCTCCCCATCCCCTACTCTACTCTTCTTTTATTCCCTAATCTCTATGTGGCTTTGTATCACCCCCTTTTCTCTCAGTACAAACTACTTTATGTAGAAAATCACTTGGGAGGTATATGTAACATTTGCTTAGATCATCAATCAACACGGAAAAGTGATTTTCTCATTTTTTCTTGGAAAGGAAGAATTTATGGTAACGTATACTCTCTAATCAAACAGAAGGGTATAGGGCATATGACCCAACGGCATTATTGTTAACACTGTGTGTAACAGATGGTAATATAGTTTTGTAGCTAATTTAAGTACAATAAAATAATAATTTGAAACCTCTGAGTAATGAATACTTTCTGTATAGCGAATCTTTTCTTGTTTGATAGTTGAGGATTAACTCTTAAACCTCAAACTTCAGTGTAGTCTGGTTCCAGTAATGGCAGAGAACTTTTAATTGGACTAACCCCACTGATTAAAAATTATAAACTTTAGACAAAATAATGAAAACAATTGTTTGGAGAGTAAGCAAAAGCTGACCTAAAGTGGAGGGAACATAATCCTTCAAAAGGGAAACAAGCTAGGTGAGTCCTGCATTAACCCACCACTTCCCAGTTTGTAGCAGAGCATGGTGGAAGAGAGTTCAAGCAAACGGCAAGAGTCTTACTGGACTAAGGAAACAGAATTTGAGACTGCCACAGAGCCTAGAAAGTGAAGGAGAAAACCCCATAAAGGAGTCCCAGATCTCTACCAAATCCTCCTCAAATCCTTGGCTGAGTCTTAAATGGTACATGGACAGCCTGAGACCCAAGGAACTGAGCAGAAAGCAACAGCTGGGAGATTTAAGATCTGAGTAGAGATTTTAGCGCCCTGCTGCTGGGTAGAAAGAACATAGAGTTAAATAAACATGTTGTGAATGGATTAGTAAGTTAAGATAGATTAGAAAAAAGAAAGAGCATGGAGTTGAAGTCCTGCCAAATTAGAGGCATATGACGAACACCTCAGGCTTTCCACTGAAATCCTAGAAGGGCCATGTCTCAGGTCAGGGATTGGCAAACTTTTCTATAAAGGGCCAGACGGTAAGTATTTTAGGCTTTGTGGGCTAAGAGGCAAACTTGAGCACCTTTCTAAAGGTAACTGTTTGAAAATATAAAGACAGTTCTTACCTGGGGGCTGTACAAAAAAGGCAGAAAGCCATAGTTTCCCCATGTTTGCTAACCTCTGCCTTAAGAGGGAGGACCATCCAGGCCCCAAGACTAACAGCTGCTCCCTAGGACTAACAGCTAAATGCAACAGATCCACGCTACCAAAGCCCCAAATGAAGCTCCCACAGGATCAACATGATTCAAAGTTACTTAATGGCCTGTTAGAATATAATGAAAAGCCCTTTAGAAACAATAACACAGGACTTGCCTGGTGGTGCAATGGTTAAGAATCAGCCTGCCAATGCAGGGGACATGGGTTCGAGCCCTGGTCCGGGAAGATCCCACATGCTGCGGAGCAACTGAGCCCGTGAGCCACAACTACTAAGCCTGCACTCCAGAGCCCATGAGCCACAGCTACTGAGCCCACGTGCCTAGAGCCCATGCTCCACAACAAGAGAAGCCTCTGCAACAAGAAGCCTGTGCACCACAACAAAGAATAGTCCCCACTCGCTGCAACTAGAGAAAGCCCACGCACAGCAACGAAGACCCAATGCAGCCAAAAATAATAAATATATAAACCTTCTAAAAAGCAGTAACATAATCCACAGCCTCTAAAACACATCACCCACAATGTCCAGTAGGCAATGTAAGAGTATATGACATGCAAAGAAACAGGACAATGGGATTCATAACCAAGAGATGACAGTCAATTCACAACAGAAAAAAAAAGGTAATAACTACAGACCCAGAAATAATCCAGATGTTATAAGAGTAAACAGCTAATGAAATATGTAAATTTACAGGAAAGGATGTACAGAGTAGGTTCAAATGGGAATTTCAGCAGAGAAACAGGCACGTTAAATAAGAGCTAAGAAAAAATTGTACAGCTGAATAACACAATATCTGAAACGAAAAAATTCATTAATTCATTGGCTGGGTTTAACAGAAGACTGGATACAGTAGGAGAAAGAATCAATGAACATGAAGACAGATCAATGGAAATTATCCAAATTGAGCGTGAGGGGAAAAAAAAAAAACTCCTGCTAGAATATCTAAGACCAGTGAGGAAATACTGAATGGTCCAATATATATGTAACTGTAATTTCTGAAGAAGAGAGAGATAATGGGGCATAAAAACAAATTGAAAATATAATGGCCAAAACTGAAGAAAGATTTCAAGCCACAGATTAAAAAAATCTTAGAAAATACAAAGCAAATAAACACAAAGAACACCATACTGAGACACACTGTTATTAAACTGCTAAAAACCAAAGATGAAGAGATTATCTTAAAAGTAGACAGAAAAAAAAGACACATTACATTTAAGTAACACTGACTTCTCAGCCAAAATAAAGGAAGCCAAAACATAATAAAATGACATCTTTAAAGTCCTGAAAAAACCAATAAGAGCTATTAACCTAGAATTCTGTATCCAGGACTTCCCTGGTGGTGCAGGAGCCTGCCAATGCAGGGGACACGGGTTCGATCCCTGGTCCGGGAAGATCCCACATGCCATGGAGCAACTAAGCCCGTGTGCCACAACTACTGAGCCTGTGCTCTAGAGCCCACGAGCCACAACTACTGAGCCTGTGTGCCATAACTACTGAAGCCCATGTGCCGTAACTACTGAAGCCCACGCGCCTAGAGCCCGTGCTCCGCAACAAGAGAAGCCATTGCAATAAGAAGTCTGCACACCACCATGAAGAGTAGCCCCCACTCGACCCAACTAGAGAAAGCCCGTGTGCAGCAACGAAGACCCAATGCAACCAAAAATAAATAGTTTTTTAAAAAGAAAAAAAGAATTCTATATCCAGCAAAAATACCATTTAAACAAATGAATGCAAGATAAAAACTTCAGACAAACAAAAGCTGAGAATATTTTTGCCAGCAGTTCTGGATGCCCAAGAACCGCTAAAGGAAGTTCTCTAGGTTGAAGGGAAATGATATTAGATGCAAACCTGGACATGCAAGAAGGAGCAATGAACACCAGAATGGATAAAATAAAACATGATTTTTTCATTAATTTCTTTAAAAGTTGCTTAAATGTTTAAAGTAAACACATACATACATACATACACACACACACGGTGAATTTACATATAATGGTAAAACATAAGACAACAGCAGAAAAGGATGGAAGTCGGGAAATGGAATTATGCTACTGTACCTTGTACATCTTACCTTGTACGTGAAGTGTTACAGTATTGGTCTGTAATTTATAATATTAACTTATGTACAGTGTAATCCCTAGAGTAAAAAAGTTAAAGTAGTACAGCTAAAAAGTCAACAGAGGAGACAAAAATCAAACACTAAAAATTACTTGATTAATCCAAAGGTATGAAAGACAGAAAGAAAGAAAGGCAAGAAAGACAGGAGAAGCAAATAAAAAACAAATGGCTACATGATAAATTCAAACTCAATCACACAATTTAATACATTAAAAATAAATGGGGGCTTCCCTGGTGGTGCAGTGGTTAAGAATCCGCCTGCCAATGCAGGGGACACGGGTTCAATTCCTGGTCTGGGAAGATCCCACATGCCATGGAGCAACTAAGCCCGTGCGTCACAACTACTGAGCCTGTGCTTTAAAGCCCGTGAGCTACAATGACCTAGCCCGCGTGCCACAACTACTGAAGCCCGCGTGCCTAGAGCCTGTGCTCCCCAACAAGAGAGGCCACTGCAATGAGAAGTCCACGCATTGCAACAAAGAGCAGCCTCCGCTCACTGCAACTAGAGAAAGCCCACATGCAGCAAAGACCCAATGCAGCCAAAAATAAATAAATTTTTAAAAAAATTAATAAAAAAAAATAAATGTACTGAACACTCTAATTTAAAGGTAGAGACTGTCAAACTCTATCATTTGATAGAAAACAGATGAACAATAGAGAAAAACAACAAATGCAAAGCTGTTTCTTTGAGAAGTTTAATAACCTTGGACTTCCCTGGTGGTGCAGTGGTTAAGAATCCGCCTGCCAATGCAGGGGACATGGGTTCGAGCCCCGGTCTGGGAAGGTCCCACATGCCATGGAGTAACTAAGCCTGTGCGCCACAACTACTGAGTCTGCGCTCTAGAGCCCACGAGCCACAACTACTGAGCCCGTGTGCAACAACTACTTAAGGCCATGCGCCTAGAGCCCATGCTCCACAAAAGAAGCCACTGCAATAAGAAGTCTGTGCACCGCGATAGAGTAGCCCCTGCTCACTGCAACTAGAAAGCCTGCGTGCAGCAACAAAGACCCAACACAGCCAAAAGTTAAATTAACTAATTAATTATTTTTAAAAAAGAAAAGTATAATAACCTTGACAAATCCCTATCAAGACTGATGCAAAAGAAAGCTAAGAAACACAAATTACCAATATCAGAAATGAAATAGGGTCCTACAGAAATTAAAAGGATAATATGATAATATTTCAAACAACTTTATACTAAGAAATTTGACACTTTGAGAACCAATTCCTTAAAAATCTCAATTTTCCAAAATAAGCAGGAACCAACTTCATACTGTTTACAAGAGACACACTTGCATTAGAAAGCTTGTATGTTACATTAATACCAGATAAGGTAGATGTGAAGGTAAGGACTATTAGCAGAGATAAAGGAAGGGCATATGTCAAGAGGCCATTAACAATCCAAAATGTGTATGCAACTAATAATATATCTTCAAGATACATGAAGCAAAACTGTCAACAGTAAAAGGACGAAAGGGCAAAGGTACAATTAGAGTTGGAGATTTAAAACTACTCTCTCAGTAACTGATACAACAAAAAGACAGAAAAATTAGTTAAGAATAGGGATGAAATAAAGAATGTTATTAACCAATTTGACCTAGCTGACATTTATGAAACACTATACCCAACAAATGCAGAAAATTAATAACTTTACTGGTGAATAGAAACATTCAGCAACACAGACCATATCCTGAGGCATGAAACAAGTCTCAAAAAATTAAGAATAAGTGAAATCATAGAGAGCATGTTTTCAGAGTAAAATGGAATTAGACATCAATTTATAGATATAACGAAAAGATAACTAGAAATTCCCCAAATATTTGGAAATTAAGCAATCCACCTCCAAAAACCTCATGGGTCAATGAAAGAATCAGAAGGAAAAATTACAATATATTTTGAATGGAAAGATAATAATAACATGTCAAATTTAGCTACAGCTAAATTAGCGCTAAGAAGGAAATTATAGATTTAAAAGCATGAATTAAAAGGCAGGTTTAGGGCTTCCCTGGTGGCACAGTGGTTAAGAATCTGCCTGCCAATGCAGAAGACACGGGTTCGAGCCCTGGTCTGGGAAGATCCCACGTGCCGTGGAGCAACTAGGCCCGTGAGCCACACTACTGAGTCTGCAGGTCTGGAGCCTGTGCTCTGCAACGGGAGAGGCCGCGACAATGAGAGGCCCGCGCAGCGTGATGAAGAGCAGCCCCCGCTCGCCGCAAAAGCTTTCTCGCCGAGAAAGCCCTCGCACAGAAACGAAGACCCAACACAGCCAAAAAATAAATAAATGAATTTATTTAAAAAAAAAATTTTAAAAGGCAGGTTTAAAAAACAACTGAGATACCAACCCAAGAAGCTAGAAAAAGATGATTAAATTAAATCCCAAAGGTAAAAGGAAATAATTAAAAACAAGAGCAGAAATCAATGAAGTAGAAAACAGATTAGTAGAGAAAAATAAAGGCAAAAAAGTTGTTTTTTGAAAAGCTTAATAAACTTGATAAGCCCTAAGCAAGACTTATGAAAAAATAAAAGTAAGCAAACACAAATTATTAATATCAGGAATTAAAAAGAGGAAATTTAGGTCCTACAGACACTAGAAAAGATAATATGAAACATTTTGAATAGCTTCATGCCAATAAATTTGACACCATAGATAAAAGGGCAAATTCTTTAAAAAATATAATTTTCCAAAATAATTCAAGAAATAAAAAATCTAAAACAACTCTACAAATAAAGAAATTAAAACTATAATTTAAAAACCTTGCCATAAAAAAATTCCAGGTCTAACTAGCTTCACCATTTAAGAAAGAAATAATAATCTATCTCAGAGAAATCCTTTCCAAGAATATAAAAAAGGAACATTTCCTAACTTCTTTTGAGTCCTGCATAACCCTGATACTGAAACCTGACAAAGATATTACAGAGAAAGAAACTTAAAGACCCATATCTCTCACAGACACAAAATCCTTAGGAAAATATGAGCCAAATGCATACAGCAATGCATACAAGTACATCACGACCAAGTGTGCTTTACCCCAGAAATGTAAGGTTTGCGTTCACACTGAAAAGGTCAGTCAACAGAATTCACCACATTAACTGAATAAAAGAGAACAGCCATGTGATCACATCGATAAATGTAAACAAAACAGCATGTGATAAAATCCAACCTCTATTCAAGATAAAACTATCAGCTGCTTATATCACACCCGAAAGGAATCCAGGTTCACTGTGATAATGGGCATAAGACTTTTGGCCTTCCTATGAACAAATACTCTACATGTGTCCTCCTGCACTTCACGTGGCTGCTGGGCAAGACTAGTGGGACAGGGTTCAATATTGGAAGAAAAGCTGCAGTATTTAGTGGGGAAGTCCTGCCACTTAGAGCCTGTCCAGCCCATGAATGGGTGGGCCATGAGTGGTCTCATAAATATAAAGGCTTTGAACCTCTCTTTTCAAGAGAAAAAAAAAAAGAAAGAAAGAGAGAGATTCCAACTATATGCCATTCTGGAAAAGGCAAAACTATGGAGACAATAAAAATACCAGTGGCTGCCAGGAGTTTGGGGGAGAGGGGTGATGAATACACAGAGTACAGTTTTTTAGTGCAGAGAAAATACTCTGTATGACATTATAACAATGGATATATGTCAGTATACTTTTGTCCAAACCTACAGAATGTACCATACTATCTACTCCATTAGAATGAACCTTAGGTGAACTGTGGACTTTGGCAATTATGATGTGTCAATGTAGTTCATCCTTGGTTTAGGGTAAAAAAAAGAAACACACCACCCTGATGAGTGATACTGATAACACCTACGCATGTATGTGGGAAGGGGGTATATGGGAAATTTCTGTACCTTCTTGTTAATTTTGTTATAAACCTAAAACTACTCAAAAAAAAGTCTTAAAAAAAAGAACATTCAGTGTTAGGATAGGTATTTTTGGCAAGATTCATTTCAGTTATACACATATGTATACAAGTTATATACGTGTGTGTTGGTTGGATTGTGATGTAAGATGCATTTTTTAGGTCAAAAAAGTTTGCAAGCCATTGTAGTTAAGTTATATTGGCAAATAAAAGCACAAATTAACCTCAAAGAAAAAAGACATAAGACTATCAGTCAACTATAAGTACAAGCTAACTTCCTCAAATTTATGAAGGATATTTTTATTTAAAAACAAAACAAGACAAAAAAGTCCCTGCACAGCTGATAACATACTTAACAGTAAAATATTGAAACACTGATCCAATCGTTTTAAATGAAAACCTAAGACTGTCTATGAACTCATGGTCATTAATTTATGAACTGTGGTCTAATTAAAAGGTGAACTTAAACACAGACTATATTATGTACACTCTTTGCTTCTACAAGAAATAGCTCCAAAATATTGACTAATTGTTCTGTTGCTTTGCTTGTTTTTAGTCAAGTTTTTGTCTCCCAAGTCTGGCAGTACCAGTTTTTAAACCTAACCTTACAGCCTAGGAAGCCAGATTGCCAAGTTTAGGAGAACTGTGTGTCAAAGAAAGATAAAAGTGAAATTGGGGTGAATACCTGAAGACGTTTCTATAAATAAGATGATAAGCTTTAGGATATGAACTTTGTGACATTTTTTGCTGTTGTGATTAAAAGCCCCTCCTCTATTCTTTTTTTGCTTACTTCTTGATTCTATAAATTGCTTAATAATTAACTGAATTCTAATCATTAAACAAAATACTAATTGTATCCATCTAATTTAAATTTCCTTCCCCAAAGAAATTCATGTTGCCAAAATCATAATAAAATTTCCTGGGAATAGGACTTCTTATAAGGATGTCATGTATTACCTTTCGCAGTGGTCCATACTGTTTTCTGTACTTCTTATTCCAAGATATTCCTATCTTTTTCAAGAGCTTCTGGCCCAGCTGATCAACAGGAATTAGATTACTCTCCTCCTTATGAGAGAAAAGAAAGTCATTTAAGAAAATCTGATAAGATATAACCTCAACACTTATGAGTTCAACGGACCCAACAGGATTAATAAATGTGCCTGTAACAGCAAACATGTAAGTGGATGAACCATAATTGTTTCAAAATAAAAAGTTTTTTAAAAAATTAGATTAAGCCTAAGTTTAGAAAACTTGAATTCTGCCACTTTCCATGCGGCAAAGTCTAAACATTTCAAGAGCAATATCCAAAGAGTATTCCAAGGTTTGGTAAATCCTGATATTATGTGGGATTTTTAGAAGAAATACTTTAGTGCAAAAAGACTGTCTCTTCTGAATGTTCTGAAGTATAACCAAGTTCTAAAAGGGGGTAAGAAGTGACTATTATGGGCTGAAATGTGTCCCTCTACTATCAGAATTCATATGCTCAATTCCTAACCCTCAAAATTTCAACTGTGACTATATTTGGACAGGGCCTTTAAAGAAGCGATTAAGTTAAAATAAGGCCTTTAGCGTGGGCCCTTATCCAATCTGACTGGTGTCCTTATAAGAAGAGGAAATCTGGACACACAAAGACACAGGGATGCGCATGCACGTAGAAAAGACCACGTGAGAAAGCAGCAAGGCGGCAGCCATCCGCAAGCCAAGGAGAGAGGCCTCAGAAGAAACCTGCTGACACCTTGATCTGGACTTCCAGCCTCCAGCACTATGAGAAAATAAATTTCTGTTACGTTAGACACCCAGTCTGTGGGATTTTGTTATGGCAGCCCTAGTAGACTGATATAGTGGCCATAGACCAATTCTCAACCGAGGTCCCTAGTAAGAAATTGAGATAAAAACTGTTTATTAAGAACGAATGAATAAATGAGACTACCATCCTTACAACAGGGTACAAAGCAAACATTAAAAGTCACATACGTGAGGTATTATCAATACTGGGAATGAAAAAGGGGACATAACTTCAGATCCTACAGACATTAAAAGGATAATATGGGAAAACAGTAAATTCCAAAACCGTATGTAAAGTAAATCCCAATTCAATTTAAAATAACAATAATAATATCACAAAAAACTTGTAACCCAATCCCAAAATATGTATATAAACACAAAGGAAACAGAATGCAAAGAATATATATCAAAGTGTTAACAATGACCGGACATTTGGTTTATTTAAACTTTGTTTCTTTATATACTTTCTAATTTTTTCCCCTCAAATTTTCTACTATTCATATGTATTCCTTTTACAACCAGAAAGTCTCCAATAAAAAATTTTTTTTAAATAGACAGAGAATTTCCCAAAAGAAAAAGACTATGAACAGTAACAATATCACTTCTGCCAACTGAATCATACATCTGATATACATACACAAATATAAACATACACTCTCTCTCTCTACCTGTAGTAAGACTGCTTTTAGAATCATCAATGGATCATCAATCTCTTCATTTTGAAGATCTTCCAAATTCACATCTGGATTACTTTTGTCCTCCTAAGAAAGAAAACAATAAAAAAGTTTCTCTTTTCTGGTAAGCGGCCTGAGGTGACCTCTAAAAATGGTTCACTATTCACCTGACCCAGAAAACCCCACAAAATCATGCAAGAGATTCAAATCTTCGTGTTCACTTTAAGAACACTCATGAAACTGCCCAGGCCGTTAAGGATATGCACATCCGAAAAGCCACCAAGTATGTGAAGGACGTCACTTTAAAGAAGCAGTGTGTGCCATTCTGTCATTACAATGGTGGAGTTGGTAGGTGTGCCCAGGTCAAACAGTGGGGCTGGATGCAGGGTCGGTGGCCCAAAAAGAGTGTTGAATTTCTACTGCACATGCTCAAAAATGCAGAGAGTAACGCTGAACTTAAGGGCTTAGATGTAGATTCTCTGGTCACTGAGCACATCCAGGTGAACAAAGCCCACAAGATGCCACGCAGGACTTACAGAGCTCATGGTCGGATCAACCCATACATGAGCTCTCCCTGCCACACTGAGATGATCCTTACTGAAAAAGAACAGATTGTTCCTAAACCAGAAGAGGAGGTTGTCCAGAAGAAATAGATATACCAGAAGAAACTGAAGAAACAAAAACTTATGGCCCAGGAATAAATGCCGCAAAAAAAAATGCAAATAAAAGTAAAAAAAAAAAGTTTCTATCACTAATCCCTTAAAAAGCAGTTAACGAAATAGGAGTGTTTGTGCCACAGAGGTTTCAAGATGGAGAAATGATGATAAAAACATCATAATAATTTGTATATGGAATCAGGCAGCCTGATTCAGGCAGCCTGGTTTGAAATGTCAACTGGTTGAATAATCCTGGACAAATTACCTAATCTCTCTGGCATTATCTGTAAATTGGGATTGTGAGATAAGGAAAGCTTCTAGCACAATACACACAGCGGGTTCCAGCATTTTCCCACTAAGCACTACTTTAGCTGCATCCTACAATTTTGATATGTTGTGTTTTCATTATCATTCAGTTCAAAATATTTTCTGGTCTCAACCCAATTTATTCTCACTCACTTATGTTGGCCTAGCAAAATCCTACCAACCTCTGCAAGCTCAGCTTAAACATTCCCTCCTATTTTCTTTCTTTCTTTCTTTATTTTTGGCTGCGTTGGGTCTTCGTTGCTGCGTGCGGGCTTTCTCTAGTTGCGGCGAGCATGGGCTACTCTTCGTTGTGGTGTGCGGGCTTCTCACTGCGGTGGCTTCTCTTATTGTGGAGCACGGGCTTAAGTAGCTGTGGCACGCGGGCTCAGAAGTTGTGGCACATGGGCTTAGTTGCTCCGTGGCATGTGGGATCTTCCTGGACCACGGCTCGAACCCGTGTCCCCTGCATTGGCAGGCAGATTCTAAACCGCTCCACCACCAGGGAAGTCCCTCCCTCCTATTTTCTGATCACCCAAGTTTGCACCCCATCTTATGAAGTTACTTGGAAACATGTCAAAATTCCTGATAAGGTATTTTTATTATTTCATACATGACATCTTGCAAAGGTATTTTAAACTGGCTTAAAATCATAAACACAAATAGACCTAAACAGTTAACATAAGACAAAACTAATAAAGAAATATAGAAGAATACGGCAGATGAAATACAACCATCCTGCTGTAAAATTACTAAAAATGCTGGATAAAGTAAAACACACAACAAAAGAAAATCTCTTTTTAAACACATGCCGAACTAGCAAGAGAACATTGGAAAAATCCTCAGAGAACAAGTGACATGAGGATCCAAGGGAAGAAATCCAGAGTTGAGGTCTCCAGCCGCTCAACGTTGCTGACACACAGCTTCCACCTTGATGCTCACACAGGACAGGGTCTGGGAGACAAAGCGTAAGGACCTACCTAAAGTGGGGAGTTGAATGGCTGGTTTTCTAAACAACCAGCTCTCCAATTCTTTGACACCACCTGGCTGTCCGTTAATTCAATTCTGACACTAATGTTGCTAAGTGCCACGAGGATGCCCCCACTTCAGACACCAGCTGCAAATGGGGTTCCCAGGCTACCTGCACTTCGGCCTGGCTGATCACAAATTCTACAAGCTCCACTTCATGTCTGATAACTTCCTGGAACATCTCATAGAACTCAGGAACTTATACTCAGGACTAGAGTTTATTACAAAGGATACAAACGAACATCCAGATGAAGGTACACAGGGCAAGGCTGGGGAGGGTCCCGAGGGCAGAAGCCTCTGTCCGCGTGGAGTTGGGGTGGCCACCCTCCCTGCACATGGATGTATTCACCAACCTGGAAACTCCCTTAGTCCTCTTCTTTCAGAGTGTTAATCAAAGTTTCATTATGCAGGCATGATTGATTAAATCATTGGCCCTCGGTGACCAAACTCAATCTCCAGCCCCTGTGCCTCCCTGGGTGAGGGGGTGGGTCTGAAAGTTCCAACCCTCTAATCATGTGGTTGGTTTCTCTGCTGACCAGCCCTCACCCCGCAGGTAACCTGATTAGCATAAACTCAGGTATGGTTGAAAGGGGTTCATTATGAACAAGAAAAGACATGCCTAATCACTCAGGAAATTTCAAGGAGCTCTGTGCCAGGGACCTGGGACAAGGACCAAGTATATATTTTTTATTATACCACAAAGATAGATTCCAGCAGAAAGCTAGAAACCTGAAAGGACTATGCTATCAATATAAGCATGACCTACCAAAAAATCCACCCCACAACAAAGGACAATGAGAAACTTGCTTGTTTTGACCTTGATACTAGATGAAGGTGGAAAAACATTTCCTCTAATAATCTGTAATCACAAGTAGGTCTTCATGTGGGTTGTGGCCCAAATTCACATCAGTTGTATGGCTCTAGAACCACCAAGTCTAGATCTTATTTTAAAGGTATTAAAGGTTGGAGGTGACCCCAGGCATGTGGTAGAGACAAATACACATCTTTCGTGGAAGAAGGTACTTTTAACTCAGGCTTCAAATTACTCCTACACCGTGTTCTTACAAAACCAACCAGCCAACCAAGATCACAGTCTAAAATAGCAAAATCATAAGGAAACAGAATCAGCAGATATCCAAAGACCCACAAAGTCTTCAGATACTGCAATTATCAGAGAATAAAACAGTATGTTTAATATGTTTAAAGACATTTATAGCTAAGGAACAAGAGATTTAAAAATGGTAGGAGAGGGCTTCCCTGGTGGCGTAGTGGTTGAGAGTCCGCCTGCCGATGCAAGGGACACGGGTTCGTGCCCCGGTCTGGGAAGATTCCGCATGCCGCGGAGCGGCTGGGCCCGTGAGCCATGGCCACTGAGCCTGTGGGTCCGGAGCCTGTGCTCCGCAACAGGAAAGGCCACAGCAGTGAGAGGTCTGCATACCGCGAAAAAAAAAAATAATAAAAAATAAAAATGGTAGGAGGGGAGATGCAGGCCGGCATTGCCTAGGGTGTGACATGCCCTAGGTGGCACATGGGCTGGGCCTAGTCCTCCTGCACTCTGCCGGTGTCCAACCTTGGCCTTGTGGGGACAGGCTGGTCCAGGAGGCACCAGTCCCAGGGCTGCCTACTGGGAGCTGTTGTAAAACTTCTTTGTCCCACATCCTCAAATGTGCAAGATGATGCTTGAAGTGATGTCAACCATCAGTGAAGCAAAAGACCCCACTTTGGAAGGCACAGGTCAGGCTCCTCTTTACAGCAGATCGAGAGCCACATTTTGAATAGTTAATGACCTCCAGGCAAGAGGCAAGAGATCATCTTCTACTTAGGTTGAGAGAGACTGAGATGTTGGCTTTCACCCAGGGAACATTATGTGGGGTTGGTCATGAAACTTGTTCCTTGCAGACAGCTCCTTGAAAGGGAAGAAGAAATTGCTAAACTATAAGCAGAGAAAACAATACCTGTCTATGTTTAGTGTATCTGGAATCCTTTGTCTCTAGGTATAAGAGATCTCTCAGGATAATGGTAGTAGAGAGACAAGCAGTGTCCATCAGGTGTACCTACTGAAGTTGAAATTCTTAAAGCACTCATCATTATGTGAACACCACAAAGCTCGTGATTCTTAAAGAGCAGAATTAAAAAAAAAAAAAAAAAGGGATGCTTCGTAGAGGCCATGAATAAGGAAATACACAAGCACAAACAGAAAGCAATCTTCTGATTGTTCTTTAAGCCCCAAGGAAGACCTTGCTAAAGTACCAGAGCTTCAAGACCAGAGAAGCAGTGCAGAGGGCAAAACCAAATGAAAGAATGCCTGCCTGCCCTCTCGAGTTACATAATGGAACCGGGAGAAGAGCTTGGCTGCTGACCATTTCCAAAGAAATGAACACAAAATTGCAGAGAAGTTCAAGGAAGCACAAGTCAAAAGGAAGACACAAAGAAAAGAATCATTACTTTTGAGCCACGCTACCTCACCACACAGTGTGAAGCTACCTCTGTGCATGACGTCAATGATAAACTTAAATAGGAAACTGTAAATAAATATTTTATGCCTCAAAATACTGAGGATAAATCCCACTAGCTAGAGAAGTGCCTGAAATCTGACAATGGCTGAGCAAAATTGAAGAAATGTCTGCAGCCAGCATGGAGGAAAGCAGAGACACACTCCCGAGGCGGAAGCCAAACTGACATGGAGCGCAGGGGCACTTTCTAAGGCTGGAGAGAGACAGGGCAACATCAGAAGAAAAGGCTACCACAAATGGAAGCATAAATGGAAGGAAAAAACCAAGAACTACAGTGGAAAAGGCAAAGAGAAAAAAATAAACGAACAACATCATAACTATTTATTAGACCTGTTCGCAAGTTTCTATGAGAATCTAATAAAAGGCTTCAACTTCATCTTTTAGAGAGAATGAAATAAAGTTAAAATAATTGTTTGAAAGGGCTGGGGGTGCCCTAGAGGGTAAGGTTCACTACTACAGGACCCTGCGACTGTAAGACAGCAGAGTGAAGGAAGGCAACAGGGTAATAAGAATCAGCAACGAAGGATGGAAACATGGAGAGCAGAGTTAGACCAGAGGAGGATAAGAAGTGCTTCACTCCATCTGACTGGAATGTGCCCAAACAAGCTAGTATCTTGGCAAATACGGCACAAGCATTTGAGAGCTGCTTCTATGGCTTCCTCAACCCAGAACGGGATAAACCCAGTTCTAGAAATAAAAGAAATGGAAGGTTAAGGACCACAAAGAGTGAAACAAAACTGTCTTTTTCCAAAAATGTCTACAACATAAGAGGGTTTAGCAAGATGGTTGATTATAAAATCAATGTACTAAAGATAACTGTACTTCAATACACCAGCCACAAATAGTCCAAAAAATACAGTATAGACATAGCCCCACAGAACACCTCCCTGATCAACATTTTCCCACTAGAACAGTTAGATTTTAAATACCCAAACTTTACAAAACATACGTTATCTCTCAGTGCATTCTAAGTACAACTGATAGAGCATCAGAAACACAGGTAGATGTTCTGAAAGGCAAAGTGAATGTCAACAAAGGCAACACAGCATCTTCAATACTGCTGGCACTCAGAGAAGCCATGTTATTACATGTGGAGCAATTTTTCATTCACAATAATATTAACTGTTTGACACTCTTTTTTTTTTTTTTTTTTTTTTTTTGCGGTTTGCAGGCCTCTCACTGCTGTGGCCTCTCCCGTTGCGGAGCACAGGCTCCGGACGCACAGGCTCAGCGGCCATGGCTCACGGGCCCAGCCGCTCCGCGGCATGTGGGATCTTCCCGGACCGGGGCACGAACCCGTGTCCCTTGCATCGGCAGGCAGACTCTCAACCACTGCGCCACCGGGGAAGCCCCGGTTTGACACTCTTGAAGATAGGTTTTAAGCATTCTACATCCTAACATGATGGGTTGGAATTTACCAGTGTTTTAGTTACATTTTAGAAAACTGGTTGAGAGTTTGGTGCTGGTGTGTAATAGATTATAATTTTTCCCACTGCAAATAACTGGAAGTGGATTCCCAATTAGTGCTTTCTCTTCTAGAGAAAATTATGAAACTTTTTTAGAAGACATTAAAGAAGCTCTAAAAACCAAAAAGATGTATCTTGTTTACACATGTAGATACAAAATGCCACTACTTTTATGTGTGTGTATGTGTGAGAAAATTGACAAGGTGATTCTAGAAATGTTCAGAAAAGCATTAAAATCCAAGACAGGCAAAACACTCCTGAAGAATAATAACACATAGGGAGACTTGCCCTACCAGTTATCATAACATAGTATAAAGCTACAGAAATTAACAATGTGGTATTTGCCTAGGAATAGAAAAAAAGAACAATAACAACAACAACAAAAACAGAATACAGAGCCCCAAAATGGACTCAAATGTAAGAAAACAATTGATATAACAGAACTGGCATTGTAAACTGGTGGGGAAAGAATGGATCATTCAATAAATGGTAATGGGCAACTGGGTACCCAGATGGAAAAACAACATCACAACATTCACAGCAAAGCATTCCAGGAAGACTGAAGTTTCAACTGTAAAAGGCAAAACTATAAGAGTTTTAGAAGACAATATAGGAGGAAAATCTTTGGTTGGTGCCATGAAAGAAAGAAAAGCTGAGGAATGGTTACTGATTAAAGGAGACTTAAGACATATGCTAACTAAACCTAATGCACGATCCTGGGCTTGATACTAGAGTGGGGCAGAAAATGCTCTAAAGGATTTGGACGAGGCCGCTGTGAAATCTGAATATAAAACATATATTAGATAATAAATAATATTATATCAGTGTTAAAGTTCCTGATTTTGACCTATGCTTATGTAAGAGAATGTCCTGGTTCTCAGGAGATAAACACTGAGTTACTTAGGGGTAAAGAGGTCTAATGGCTTCAACTTTATTTCTAGTGGTCAGCACTGATAATGATAATGTTAACTGTGTGTGTGTGCATGTGTCTGTATACAGAGGATGTGCCTGCACAAATGTGGCAAGATGGTTAACAACTGGAGAACCTAGGTGAAGTGTATACAGGAGGTGTTTGTACTATGCTGGTTATTTTTCTGTAAGTGTGAAATTATTTAGAAATAAAAAATTTAAACATCTATCTGTATTAACTTTCGGTGCCTATAAGTTTTCTACAGAGTGAATATATAATAAATGGCAAAAGATTAGCCTCACCAAGATAATGGGACTAGAAAAGGAAAAAATTGCAAAGATACTTTTAATCTAATTTCTATACTTACTTGAAACTGCCAGTTTCCCAAATGATCTACATCTTTAATATACACATGATAATGGCCTCCGTAGCAACCACCTTTGTGTATAATAACTGAGAAGAGGTCATACAAATATTCCAAGTCATCTAATTCACTCTACAAGAAAGAGCACAAACATTGATACAGTTTACATAAAATAAGAAGATACATAACCAAAGGGGGAAAAAAAATGTCAACTATTAAAGTTAGTAAGAAACTTCACTATTATTGTTATTTAGGGTAAATTAAGATAAATTTGAATAATCGGCTTTAAAATTTGAAATTCGTAATTCTTAGACTGAAAATTATCTATCGTTGATCTAATACCAATCACATTATGCCAAATTCTGCCTCTGAGTTAAACATAAAAACATATATCCAGGGACTTCCCTGGTGGTCCAATGGTTAAGAATCCACCTTCCAATGCAGGAGAAGCAGGTTCGATCCCTGGATGGGGAACTAAGATCCCACATGCCACGGGGCAACTAAGCCCGTGCGCCACAACTAGAGAGAAGCCTGCACACCGCAACAAAAGATCCCTCAAGCCGCAACTAAGAACCGACGTAGCCAAATAAATATTAAAAAAAAAATATATATATATATATATATATATATATCCAAACAAGATGTTATTTTTATGTACTTTGGCTAAAATCGTGTAACCCCATGTGATAACAAAACACACAGTACCCTATCAGAGTTTTAGCAAGAAAAAACCATCCTGTATTAAACTATTATGCTGCTTTATAAATGTGCTCTTTAGCAGTTGAATTCGTCCTACATTTTAACTAGAGTGTCATGCACCTCTAAGTCAGAGTTGTATCTACTATCTATCACCCCTCCTGACACTTCAGTCCTCTGCATATAACAGGAGTTTAGCAGTTATGAATACTAGCTGGTTTCCTTTAGAGGCAGTTTAGTGGAATGAACAGGTTCTTCCTTGATTTATCAATTCTATGATCAATCTTTTCTACAAGTAGCGTGCTCTGTAGTTATGGACACCTACACTGGCATTAAAAAAACCTTCTCTAGGTTAAGGGATACTTGGCATATGGATGCTACTTGAGGGAGTGCCAATTATTTAAGAACTTATTTGCTTAAATTGCACTTTTTAAGTAAGCAGCATTTTTTAAATGTCTGGCTTAGGGAAAACACAAGAGAGATGTAAACAAAGATGCAAAATGATAATTTTTTCATTAATACAGAAATCAGAAAGTAAAATTATTGTGAATTGCTTAGATAAGTGTTGTTTTGCTTTTTTCAGTTTTGTTATTTCAACATACGTCAAAATCATGTGACAAACTACTTTTTTTTTTTTTTGGCTGCACCACACAGCTTGCAGAATCTCAGTTCCCCAACCAGGGACTGAACCCGGGTCATGGCAGTGAAAGCCAGGAATCCTAACCACTAGGTCACCAGGGAACTCCCATGACAAACTACTTTTTATAAAAGGACAAAAATTTTTCTATGAGATGATGGATGTTAACTAAACTTATTGTGGTAATCGTTGCATAATATATGTAAACCAAGCCCTCATTCTTCATACCTTAAACTTACACAGTGATGTATGTCAATAATTCCTCAATAAAAATGGGAAGAAAAAAAGAGAGTTAACTCAATTACTCCAGAAACAAAGCTTTTTCCAGGCAGCAAACAGGAGCGGAAGCATTCTGGAAAACCTGTTTATTCTACGCGCGCCAGTAACAGGCTCAGGGCCGACACATTAGAAGCTCTGAATGGAGATTAATATAATAACGAAACCAAAAAGCTCAGTAACTAGGCTTGAAGTAGAGAAAGCCCCACCTGAACTTTAGACCATTTAGAAAAGAGATTACTTTTATACATAGAAATTCAACAGCTGGCGAACAAATGTTCTGGACTTAAACATATAAAGAATGATCTGTAGTAAGAAATGCCTCAGTCTCATCACTCTGATCTTGGCATGTATACAATTACATAGAAAATATTTCTAAATAGCTTATAAAGTAAGTAGATTATGTCATTAATTTGCTTTTAAAACTTTTTCTTTCCCGTGTCTTAAGGATTACAAATTCTACAAATTCTACTAGTGACATCCAATTTGTTTACTTTCTAGATGCGCAATTCATTCTTGCATCTAAAGTAAACTAAATCCAAACAGGAATGTACTACTGAATGATAATTGTTCCTAACGCAGGGTCATTTCTAATTCTGTTCTTAAATTTTCATTTCAAAGTTTTTTCAAGGAGAGTTTAGTAAAAAGCACTGGGAACAAATCCATACTTTGGAAATTCAAAAGAACTGTGATAAACTAGTGGTTCTCAGCCGGGAGCAATTTTACCCACCTTCCCTCCCCGCTGGAGACACGGACATTTGGCAAAGTCTGAAGACATTTTTGTCACTACTGGGGGTAGAAGCGGGAGATGCTACCGTCATCTAGTAGGTAGAGGCCAGGGATGCTGCTTAATATCCTACAATACAGGGCACATCCCACCACAACAGAGGATTATCCAACTCTAAATGTTAACAGTGCCAAGGCTGAGAGATTCTGCACTAAGCCAACTGTAAACCAGGTCAATAAAAGATTCAATCTTGAGAGGGTAAAAGAAAGAATTTCAATACAAAATAGTTCAAACCTGTTCACAAAATGGCTTGAGATTGATCCGGAGAGGGAACGTATAACAGCTTGTTTCCTTGTATCGTTCACACTTCACAAAATCAAAATTAAATCTTAATAATGAAAAAGTAAGAAAGGGAGGCAGCTTACGCAATTTGGCCGACTGTCAAAAGAAAAAATTTTTAATTTTTAAAAGCTGAATCATATAGAAGAATACATAATGTTTCTTAAGATATAAAAAAGTGACCTATGACACAGTTTTAAGAGAAATATGTCCTTAAGTCACATAAACTAATCACCATGGACTCAATATAGCTCTTCATATAAACTCATCTATTTTTATGGGGCTGAAGGTGACATCACTCACTTATACCTACAACTAAATATTCACAACCCATTTGTATATTTTAATGTCACTATCCTAACAAAGCTATCTGATGAGGGTGCTCCCCCTTTAACAGTGCCTTTTTTAAAAAATAATTAATTAGTTTATTTATTTTTGGCTGCATTGGGTCTTCGTTGTTGGGTCTTCGTTGCTGCACGCGGGCTTTCTCTAGTTGCGATGAGTGGGGGCTACTCTTCGTTGTGGAGCGTGGGCTCATGATTGCAGTGGCTCCTCTTGTTGCAGAGCTTGGGCTCTAGGCACACGGGCTTCAGTAGTTGTGGCACGCAGGCTCTAGAGCGCAGGCTCAGTAGTTGTGGCGCACAGGCTTAGTTGCTCCACGGCATGTGGGATCTTCCTGGACCAGGGCTTGAACCCGTGTCCCCTGCATTTGCAGGCGGATTCTCAACCACTGCGCCACCAGGGAAGTCCAAACAGTGCTGCTTCTTTTTTTTTTTTAATTTATTTAATTAATTTATTTACTTTTGGCTGTATTGGGTCTTCGATGCTGCACGTGGGCTTTCTCTAGTTGCAGCGAGTGGGGGCTACTCTTCGTTGCGGTGCACGGGCTTCTCATTGCAGTGGCTTCTCTTGCTGCGGAGCACGGGCTCTAGGAGCACCAGCTTCAGTAGTTGTGGCACATGGGCTCAGTAGTTGTGGCTCGCAGGCTCTAGAGCACAGGCTCAGTAGTTGTGCTGCACGGGCTTAGCTGTTCCACGGCATGTGGAATCTTCTCGGCCCAGGGCTCGAACCCGTGTCCCCTGCATTGTCAGGTGGATTCTTAACCACTGCGCCACCAGGGAAGCCCCTCTAATAGTGCTTCTTTCCTGCCCGAGCCCTGGCCTTTTCACCTTTCACTTTCCCCCTAGGTCGCTGTGTCTACTTTACCTAGCAAACACACAGTTCTTATTTACTGAAGAACCGGAGCTCTTAACCTGTGACCTGGGGACGTGTTTCAATGGATCTGAACCGTTGAAATTATATGAAAATTGTATGTGTATATGTATTTTTCTGGGGAGAAGAGACACAGCTTTCATAGACTTTCAAAAGGACTGTAGCTCTTCAAATGTCGAGATCCATTGACTGGGGTTTTACAGTTCTTCAAAGCAGATAATAAGATATTTTTTGTTTTAATGCCTTGCTTTAAAACAAAACACTAAACTGAGCTACTTTTTATTTAAAAGGCATCAGCTTTTCCCAAGCCCCTTGCACTAAAGGCATGTGAGGAGGCAAAAAGAATCCTTCCCCATATTTAAAATTATCCATAATCATAAACATCTAACATTCCTAAAAATATATTTTAAACAATTCTACAAACCTAGTGGGTGAAAAGAAAAGTTAGATGAATATACAGCAACCTAACAACATGGCAGATTTTCAAACTAGCTCAAAAAAAAAAAAAATCTAAAAAAAGTGAGTAAATCAACTATAATGTGGCTGAGGAAAGAAAGACTGCTCAGAACAAGATGATCTGCATTAATTTAGGTAATGCAACCAAGCCTAACCTTAGAATGCAATAAATCTAACGCAACTAGAAGGCAATTTTTAAAGTATCAAGATCAAAACATTTCCATTGAAAAAGAATTAAACCAATGATAGAAAAGGTGCATACAAGAATTGCTTTTGTTTAACAAAAGGTTCTTATTTTACTAATGTGCAAATTAAGGTCAACCAAAAACTAAGAATGTGTTTAAGTGTCTTTCCAAGATGCTTCATCCTCTGAATTTTATATTTATTTTATTAGGTTGTAGTTGTAACACTAAAGAGGAAATACAAAATAAATAAGCAAAAAATAAACCTTTCTTTCGTTTTCATAAAGGGGCAAAGGCTAGATGGAAATAAACATTAAACAATATAAAATTCACCCTGGTTTCGAATCCTATTGTGAAAGCTACAGGCATGGGGTTTACTGTTTTCAATTGCATTTTCACCTATAATCTCCAGGATCCAAATCAATGTTGTGTGCTATCTGAATCAACCCTCACTCTCTCTGTTGGAAACTCAATACTGTCAGCTCTAGGAATAGAGCTAACGCTCTGTCTTAACAGAGTAACTGCAAAGATACATCTTTAGTGGTATTTCTTTAAGTCAGGGCTCAATAACCACTGGTTCAATTGAGTTCAAGGTTATCACGCTAATGAACAGCCTGTCGTATCATCTGCCAGCAGTGAAAGAGTTCCTACTGCAGATAATAATAGCAGCTGAGTTGATGCCATGTTGCAAAAGAAATCACTTGCTTAAATTTTGTCCTGCTTTTTTCCTGTATTTTGCTCTGTTGTACAAAGAGAAACCCTGGCACGCTCTGTCAAGCCCTGTAATTAACAAGATACGTACTTCCAGCTGGGGGAGGAGGAAAGGCCATATTGGGTTTGCTAGTCAGGGAGGAAATATACACACATCAATACAGTAAAATAACTGCAAATGTGAAAATAAAGAAAGCCATTTGTGCAGTGGTAGATCAAGAAAAGGAAAGCTCAACAAGCTTCCTGGCTGGCAGAAATAAAAATATATTGCCTTCTTCATAATGGTAACTTGCAAAAAAAAAAGGTTTATTTAAGAAACACTGAGGTACAGATAATTTTTTCCTGTGAGAAAAAGAAGCTGAGAGAACTGCTGGGTTGAAAGCTTAAAAAAAATTCTTTACTGTAAAAAATTAAAATACATACACACACACACACACAGACACACACATATAATATAAATGTCTTTTCAATCCTTAGTACTAATTAAGAGCTTCATGTATATCTTCAAGACACTTCCTACAAGTTGACTTCCCTCGACGGACCCTCCTGCTACCAAACACTGCGCAGGCACCCTTAGAAAAGGCAGGGATCTATCTTTACCTTTGCTGCTTTCACCAGCCTGTCACAAGTCCCACAGTGGTACAAGTTGTCGTAGTCAAAAACTTCCTCTTCCACATACATGTTCCAGAGTGCATCTTCCAAACCTGATACATTTCTGACCGCTACTGTGAGATCTAAGAAGTCTTCCTGAAATACACATGAATATAACATTGAAAAAACAATTCCACAGAGGCTCACAAACACATCACCAATTCATACATACACTGGGAAGAATCAGATTTTTTTTTTCTAAAACACATATATTTTTTCTATATATGAAGGTATAGATCTCCTGATTAGATACTGTGAAATTCATAACAATAAATTATTCTTTCTAAACCAAACTATAACTTAGCTTAAAATATATCAGGAACCAGTTTACGAGTTCACTATAGATACAACGAAACCTATTTTATCAGGAAATAAGACAAACCATTTAAAACACGAATTGAGAAGAGTATATGTACAGGGTTATTAGTGCTGTCTTAGTCTCTAGGCTGGCATGGCAAGGCCAGGGTTGGACTCTCTAATGTAAACTCTTCTTCCTCCCCTTCTGCTAGGGCTGGTTCAAGAAAAAAATTATTTTGAGCCAGGATACAAAGGTATTTTTACGAAAATTAAGAGTGCATTTTGCAAAATGCGAGTCTACCAATTCTACTAGAAGTACATTTGAATTATATTTCTAGTAATAAACAGTTACAGTTTGACAAGTTTAAATAAAGCACATTTATAATTTTGTGTGCATGTCTGAGCAACAGCATTACCTTAAGGGATTATGGGGATTATAAAATAATAGCACTAATTAATTAGTTCAAGGTGGAAACCTAAAGCAATAACATTCATATATGATTTATAATATAAATATGTGAAAAGTTAATGTCTGTAGTTTATAACATGCCTTCATATATGTTATGTTTTGAAATGACTTTGTGAATCATTACATTATACTGGTCAATCATACAGTAATCCAAAGACATACATACAACATCTTAATATTTCCAAACCAGGCTGGCCAAACCTTCTATTAGCACAGGCAATAAGGGCCAAAAAGTCTTTTTTATGCCCAACACTTTCATAAAAAATAGAAATATATATATACATATATATTCTAAAACAGCAATTAATGCAACATTTAGAAAATGGCATTTAATTATTTTACTCATATAGTCAAATACAGAAACTTTCTATAACTCTTGCCATAAAATAATATTTTTATTAAAGGACAACTGTTCGGTGATGAAATCATTTGCTATATAAGATTTGTAGTGCAAGTAGTGATTATTATATTTATATGAGCAAATTTCCAATTAGATGAAATAGGCAATCTCTGTTATGACAAAGAATGGAAGGTTACACTAGTTTAAACAGGATTATAATAGCTTTATATAAATAATATTTAAACCTAAGCACACACATACAAATGAACTTTCTGAGGAGTATCAATAAACTAAATCCAATATTTAATTACAGATTTGTCAATTTAAACATTCCTCAGTATTCTCCACTTTTATTACTTCTCTAAGTAACTTTCTTTATAATATTCCAACCACCAACCATGATGATATTGGCTTTTCTCATAAGGTCACTGGTCCCTACTTGTAAACACCCCCCAAATCTACTTTCTAAATATTAGAGTACTAAATAAAAGATTAAAGCTACATCTTAAGATATCTACTTCTTTCAGTTTACATGGAAAAATCTGGATTATAAACTTATAATCTGGGTGTAGCTAGAGTACAAGAAAAAAACTGATAAAGTTATTTCTAGTAATAAACACATTAATCCTCATGTGCTATAGATCACAGATTTAATTGCATGAATTATAATTTATGATTTAACTTATTACTAAAATACTCTTGCATATTCACCTGCTTTTCACTGACATTCTTACATTCTTTACAAACAATCTGGTTAACAATGGTTCCGTGATATAGACGATTGATGAGGTCATGGCCGGAGGTCCCAACTAAAGAAGTTTCCAAAGCACTAAAGAGAATTCGATTCAGTTCCTGTACATCATGTTGCCTCATTTCCTATAAAACAGGTAACTTTTAAATGTAATTTTGTGCTTCAGATTTTTAAAAACAGATTTGTAAAGTGATATTAGTTTAAAAACACAAGACTTATCTAGAAATCCAAAGGTAAGCCTCTATCAAAGGTAAGGATGACTATGCTAAACAAGCTGAGAGCAGGGTAAGAGATCACCACCTATTTTTACTTTTACTACAAAATGAAAATATAAACAGACGGTGTTCAGTGTGTACATATAACTCAATTCACTTGAAAACAGGAAAGTGCATTTATTTTGTGCGACACCATACGCATGGCCGTGCCACAGAGGGGAGCGGGGAAGAAGGAACACACAGGCACAGAGCAGTCTCTAAGAGCCGGCAGTGTGTGCACAGCAGAATCTCAGCTCAGAGGGACTGATAAACACTCTGAATTATCAGCATTTAAAAAGAACTAGAATTTACTGCTTTGATATATAGACCAACTAAAGGAAGACTAACACAGTGCTACTGAGAAAAATTCTGACGGAACCTGCTTCAATCTATGAATCATGCAACTGTATGTGAATAGGCTGAACTACTCCCAAAGAACCATTTATAAACCCAAAGCCAAGGGGCACACCAACACTTAGAAGTGGAGAAAACAAGAAAGAACCAGCACAGGAACCCGAGGAAGAGCCGGGAAGGGGAGAACCAGGAGAGCGAGGTCACGGGAACAGCGGAGGGGTGGTGGGCGCTACTACTGAGGGCTGTGGAGAGACGAGCAGTGTCTCCTGGACCTGGCATGAGGGTGCCAGAAGGGACTTGGACAAGCAGGTAGGAAGCGGGCAGAGAGCAAATGGAAGGCACAGAAGTAGAGGCAGTGAGGGACGATGACTTTGAAGATAAGTGTCTTGTGAAGAGAAGCTGATAAAGTAGATGGAAGCTGGAGTAACATGTGGGACTCGGGATCTTTTTCTTAGTTTTTAATACACAAGACACTAGATGATATAAATTTCTCCAATACCACTGGTTCTGATGGGACAGAAAACTTGTGGAAGTTTCAAGATCTGTTTCTGAACAATCCTAAATTCGGCAAAGGTGCCTCAGAGACCCTCTCTACCACTGCAGGTCCAGTCCTAGAGGGTTTACTACATGATTTTATTTAGAAATCAATCAATCAATCAATAAAGTTTTCAGTTTTCTAAGAAGTATGAAGCCAGCAATTGAGAGGAAGCTCATTATCAAAAACAAAGGGAAATCCATCAACTGATGACTAGGTTAAAAAGAAACACAAACCACCGTGGCATACCCATCCAACAGAAGACTATCTGGCAATAAAAAGGAATGAAGTGCTGATACATACTACGACATGAATGAACTTTGAAAACATTACTTTAAGTGAAAGAAGCTAGTTACAAAAGTCCACATATTACACAATACCATTTTTGTGCAGTGTCCAGAATAGGCAAATCCACAGAGAGAGAGATTAGTGGTGGCCAGGGACTCGGGAAAGGGCACACAGGGCGTGGGTGACTGGTAATAGGTATGGGGCTTCTTTTTGGGGTGGTGAAAATGTTCTAAAATTGACTGTAGTGATGCTTGTACAACTCTGTGAATATACTAAAAAAACCCACTGAATTGTACCCTTTAAAAGAGGGAAGCTTAGGGCATAAGAATTATATCTCAGTAAAGCAGGTTTTTTTAAAACAAGGAAAGAAAAAGGGAATTAGCCCTAAGCACCTGCCCTACACCAGAAACTCAACACACACTCTTTAGGGAATGTATTACACCCCATTGTACTGCCAAGCCCAAGCCCCACCTCTCTAACCACATGGCATCATCTAGTTAATGAGTGTTTCTGGTTAAAAGACAAGAGTTTATAGTTTATTTTTGAAGGCAACATACCCTTATTCTGATCACTGTCTCTTTAAATTCTGTGACAGTCTCCCATACCTTCATCTCTGCATCTATTCCATAAAAGAATACATCTATTCCATAAAAAACCGCAGACCTAGTTTTGATTTTATACAGCTAAGAGCTCATCAATATCGACAACACACATCTTAGTGCTGACAAATGTTTAGTGTTTGTATATAGTGAAATACTTTTTAGGAACTGAAACAAAAAAAGAGGAAGTCCACACACAGTAGGATACAGGAAGCAAATGAAGACAGTCAGGAGACAGGCAGGACAGTGAAAATGAAAAGACCTGCCGAGAATGGTTTCACTGTTTTGCTTGAAGCAAATGTTCAAATTGGAACACCCAGATTCAAGCACACAAGCACGCCAAAAAGGCAGACAACTACTGCCAGTCAGCTTTTTTAGTTGATAAGCAGTTTGCTATAAAAATGGCAATTTCCATTAATGTAACAGGTGGTATATCTCAACTAGACTACACAAATGGTAGAAATTATAAAAACCAGCTCTTATACTTCTTCTCCCTGTATCTTCAACCCTCTTCCCCCAACCCCAAATCACACTCATTCATAAAATCCTGGATACAGCCAAGTGTCTAAAAATGTTTTACTGGTTTGTAATTATCTAATATTAGAAGTAAATATTTAAACAATATCTTGAGACCGTAAGACAAAATTAAAGGAGAAGTTAGATAACATTATGAAGCCAGTGTTCAGTCTTTACTGCTGGTAACTTTTCCCTGGAGAAGCTGACCTTCGTACCTCATCACTGGTCCACCCAAAGCTGTCAGTGAGGTCTGTGGTGGACGCAGCTTCCTGGTCTAAGAGCAGAAGCTGTGCAAACAACCGCTGTAACTGCAAAGGTATGATTCGGACCTGAATGAGAAAAAAATGCATTTCTAAATATCTTTTAAATGTTGGCTGGGCCTTTTTAAAAGAACTGCATACTAATTTTCTCCTACCTCCTAGTTCATTTAATTCACTCAGGAGAAAATTTATAAATATTGTGAAGGGTGAATGAAGATTCATTTTTCTTTGAAAATTTTAATTCAATACAATTCTTAGCTATATTGACATAACAGATCAGTATTAAAACCCAAACAGGCCCTAATAAACCACCCAATTAATTAGAGAATGACAGTAATTCAAGTCTCTAATAGTTCATCCTTTCTCCAAAATACCTCAGTTACAGACATACTCCCTATGAGGAGGAATTTTCCAGTCACAAGTATCTCACAGGGCTGGCTGCACCCTCCATTGCTTTCTTCCTGCTGGCGCCACGCCCATTCCTGCCTGTGTGCTGTGGGCCAGGGCCCTGAGAAGGCTGCCTGGAGCCTGATCTGAAGACTGGACTTAAATATCTAAAGTAAGAACAAGCCTTTAGAAAACTTTATGGCAATTTTGCATTGCCACAGCATTTTTATTATATCCAATGAAAGTCTGATCTGCAACAGACTGTGCATTAAAAAAACGGGCTCTTTGCCACACAGGGAGTTTGAGAAGCGCTGGGCTGGATCATGAAAGACTCTTATTAAGAAGTACAGGGCTGGACTTCCCTGGTGGCGCAGTGGTTAAGAATCTGCCTGCCAATTCAGGGGACACGGGTTCAAGCCCTGGTCTGGGAAGATCCCACATGCCGCATAGCAGCTAAGCCCGTGCACCACAACTACTGAGCCTGCACTCTAGAGACCATGAGCCACAACTACTGAACCTGTGTGCTGCAACTACTGAAGCTGGCACACCTACACGCCTAGAGCCCATGCTCCGCAACAAGAGCAGCCACCGCAATGAAAAGCCTTCGCACTGCAACGAAGAGTAGCCCCCACTCGCAGCAACTAGAGATAAACCCTGCACGCAGCAACAAAGACCCAACTCAGACATACATAAATAAATAAATAAATAAATAAATTTATTAAAAAAAAAAAAGAATCTGCCTGCCAATGCAGGGGACACGGGTTCAAGCCCTGGTCCGGGAGGATCTCTCATGCCGCAGAGCAACTAAGCCATGCACCACAACTGCTGAGCCAGCGCTCTAGAGCCCACGAGCCACACCTACTGAGCCCATGTGCCACAACTACTGAAGCCCACGTGCCTAGAGTCTGTGCTCTGCAACAAGAGAAGCCACCACAATGAGAAGCCTGTGCTCAGCAACAAAGACCCAAGGCAGCCAAAAATAAATAAATGAATAAATAAATTTATTAAAAAAAAAAAAGTACAGGGTTTCCCTGGTGGCACAGTGGTTGAGAATCTGCCTGCCAGTGCAGGGGACACGGGTTCGATCCCTGGTCCGGGAAGATCCCACATGCTGTGGAGCAGCTAAGCCCGTGCGCCACAACTACTGAGCCTGTGCTCTAGAGCCTGCGAGCCACAACTACTGAGCCCACGAGCCACAACTACTGAAGCCCGCACACCTAGAGCCTGTGCTCTACAACAAGAGAAGCCACAATGAGAAGCCTGCGCACCGCAACAAGGAGTAGCCCCCGCTCGTCGCAACTAGAGAAAGCCCGCGTGCAGCAACAAAGACCCAACGTAGCCAAAAGTAAATAAATAAATGTATTAAAAAATGTATTAAAAAAAAGAAGTACAGATTTTATGGGACTTTCCTGGAGGTCCTGTGGTTAAGACTCAGCGCTTCCACTGCTGGGGGGCGTGAGTTTGATCCCTAGTCGGGGAACTGAGATCCTGCACGCCGCACGGCATGGCCAAAAAAAAAAAAAAGTACAGATTTTAGTCTGAGGGTGATAAAGTTCTGAATGATGTTTAAGCAAGGGAGAAACGTGATTAGATACGCACTTACAGTAAACCAATCCCTCACTCAGTTTACTTCCAGAATACCAAACTGAAAGAAGACTGGCCCCTTATTTTTTGTTGTTGCTACAAGTAAGTGCATTAAGCGGACTTTCTGGCGCGATAGTGCGGACAACTCGTGAGTATCTCCTTAATGCAGAGAGAGGTATGTCTAAAAAGCAGCAGCAGCATTGCATCTGCATAAGTAATTCTCTGTTGGAAGGGCAGTTCCCTTAACAGTAAGGTACAGGCCAAGACACTTTCTGAAAATAAAGATCATATTTGGTAATTAATAAAATTATTGATTCCTACGAATAAGCAACTTAATTCTTTCCTTAAAACATTTCCTCAGTACTCCAAAAAACCCCTGTGAATCAAAGATTTTAATACCTTTGCGTCAGGTTTATCCTTATCCTCTAACGAACCAAGCTCTTCCGGGCCAAGAGAAAATAAAGCTTCTAAACAAAAAAGTAGAATCACAGATGTAAATGACATTATCTCATTTTTGAAAATTGTTTTAGAAAGCCAAGGCCACCAGTAAGTAGAAATCAGTTAAAGATTCAGAAATATCACTTGACAATATTTACACCCTTAGCCTACCCATCTTGCTTTCTGGTAATGTTATTTTTAACCACTGACCCTATTAGAAAGTGGGAAGCTAAGGTTTCAACAAGGGAGAGCTGTAAAAGGAAAATTATACATATAAAAACCATAACATCAGAAATCTTTGGTGGTTTCCTATTGCCTACGGCAGTGGGTCCCAAAAGCCACATGAGGAACACTAGGAAATACACAATATAGAATAGTGTCACGTGTGTTTGTTCACAAGCCACACGTGAGACTTCCAACCATTCTTTCACAAGAAGGAGCACCTTTAACTCTGAGATAACGCCCTTACCATTTTGGTATGAAAATATCTTTTCTGCATTGAGGGTAATAACAGATGGTGGTGACCTTACCTGGAAAAAGACGTTGGCAACCCAGTGCCGGTCTCCAGAATTTGTTTATAATTCAATGTCTGGGTACGCCACCCAGTGGGGCGTATCTGAATCTTTTGGGAAGTCTGTATTCAAACAGATAGGAACACCTACTAGGAGACTCTGATATACTCCGGGGAGAGGAGGGATGGGACGGGTGTTGCCTTGCACTGAAAACCACTGCTGCCTTAGTGATTACTGTTATGTAATATTCCTCCTGAGCTCCCGGCAGGAACTGGGAAAAACACTACATGAAGGTTACAAACATAAAGGCTAAAGCATAGAAACCATACAAAGACTTCCACAATCGTCTCCCACTCCTCCCAGCTACACTGATCTGGGAGTACAGTGGAACCGAATCTAGTCCTATTCCTTAAAATATGATTCCAAAAAGTTCCCAAAATTTCCCCTCAGTTCTCCGCCAGTCCTTACCCTTTCCAAAGTGTACGCCTTCTTCAATAAGCTTCAGGATCTGCGCTACACCTTACTAGGAGTGTGCGAGTCACACTAAGGTGTCAGCCCATGGGCTTGGCCGGCCACCCACTTTGCTAGAGAGAAGGGGGCCCGGGGCTCTGAGCCCTTTCTTCTTAGCGGCGCTCTCCGTGACCTGCCTGCCGTCCCCAACAGTCGCCTTCCTCACCCTCTTCTTAAGGCTACTTTTCTACTTTAAGTTGCCCTTGAACTTCAATTATACTAAAACTTGGGAAAAACTTAACCTCCCTAGGAACCCGCTTATTCATGCTCCAAATTTCTAACGGTGGAACTACTGAAGGCACTGGGGGGATATTTTTATGGAGCGGATGGAGTCACAGACAAGAGGCAACACTCAAATCCACATGCACTTCGACCCATTAGAATGGCCCTGGGAAGGGGATAACGGTAATTATACACTAAATCTCTGGAGGCAGGAAGTCTCTGTAAGCTTAGAAGCAACAGAAAATGTCACAAAACTTTGCTAAATTTGGTAGTGGTGGGAAGGGGGATGAGATACTGGATACAGGATGAGCCAGGTTGTCTGTCCTCAGAATATGGAGGCATAGTGGGGAGCTGAGCTACAGTCATGGAGCTTCGTAGCTGGGGGCCCCCAATCAGGGCCATGTGAAGGCAGAGGAATCTTCACACTGAAATCAAGGGAACACAGAGACTAAGACCCTTGTGGAGGAAGCTAGTTTGCAGAGGAGGAACGGGACAAACATGTAGAGAAAAATAGGGGCAAGAAATCAAGGGTCCAAGGAGGTCAGGGTGGCTTCCTGTAGGTGGTTTCTAGGAGATTCCCCTATATTCTTACAGTAAACCTCCCTTTTAATTGAGCTACTTTGAGTGGGTTTCTGTTCCTTATACACAGTCCCTTATCTAACACCTTGGATCTCTGGAATTCAGAATTTCCAGATTTTAGAAAGGTAATATGAAGAAAGGGTCCAATATGTTAACATTACATCCCCAGCAGAGTCTGGGACAAACAGTATCTATTAGTCAAGGACTTAATATTCCTGTGACAAATGTATGACTGCTCACCCAAATAAGATAATTAAGACTATAAACAGTCTCACAGCAGGTCAGGCTCTCAGGCCAAACAAGTTCAGATTATTAGGTCAGGCTGTCAGAGTTTTCCAGATTTCAGAACTTCAGATAAACGATTGTGGACTGTATGAATAATGTGACAACCCCTCCCCACTCCAAAAGGAAGCATATAACTGTACTGAGTAACTCTGGTTTACGTGTTTATTACTTTGAGAAACTCAAAAATACAAATGGTGTACAATAATGAAGGCTGGCACTCATGACAAAATTGTCTATGTTGTACTTTAAATGATAGGAATTAGAAAAGAAATACATTGCCTTATTTTTTTTATCTTGTTACTGAACATCACTGTTATCACACAGAAAATATTCATAATTTAAGCTTCACATTCCTCTGCAGAATTACCAATTTGTGTCCCTCATTAGCAACAATTAACACACACTGTCGAATACACTTGTGATTCTGCATAACTAATTACAGGTGGATACGAGGATACGTATTACCAGCCAAGTGCATGTAACATAGCATACCTCTGAATTCAGGTGTGAAATGAAGAGTCTGAAGGAGGGAATTGAGGTAACAGGTTCCACCCTGATTTCTGATTCCACTTAAATTGGTGAATTCTCTAGGCGCAGGTGGCTCCAAAGCTTTGGTCTTTAATTTCTTCCCTTTTCCATAATGATCATTTGACACACTGGAATAATCCTCTTCAAACAGGTCACCAAACATTGTGAAACTAAACACTACCCTTAAAAATATATAACATGTTATATAAACGTTTTTATTTTTAAAACAAAACTTCCCCACATCTCCCTTTTATACTTGGGAGTCTCCATTTTAAGTCACTCTTTAGAAAGTACAGACAGTAGTTCGGGCTTTGGAGGCAGCAAGACCTGAATTTTTTCATCCCTGCTCCACACTACCTGTGCGACCGTGGGCAGCTTACTTAACCCACGTTCTTATAAGTAAAATGCGATACCAACTGTCACGCAGGGTCATTTAAACAATCAAATAACATAATGAAAGGCATTTAGGGTACAGGGTTTAGCCCACAATAAATGACAGCTGTTTTTAAAAAGGCATATTGATATCACTAGTGAAAAAAGAAAGAAAACCCATCAATACACCTAATCTGCTGAGGGGGTAGAGCCAAAGCTAGATTCTGAGCGTTGACAATGGCCTAGGGACCATGAATCACTTCCTAAAATCTCTGCTTCTCAAACTCCTTGCACCAGATCATGACACTTAAATAAGTTAAACGGAACAAATTAATCTTTATAGTAGTTTAGTACACGGCCCCGAAGCCGGACAGCCGGGTGGAGATTCACTGGGGAAAAAACACTGCCATTTAAATAATGGAGCCTCGAGGGCTTTACAACATGTATCCATCCGGTGATCCCAACATTAGCTCCTGGGGTCTAAAGAATCCGCTCAAGGTCTCATATCGAGTGTGGAGGAGGGTCACCTGGAGACGAGAAAGGCCAAGCGCCTAGCACAGTTCCTAAGGGATAGGAAACGCTGAAATGCAATTATTTGCCTTTTCAACCCGTTCCTCAGAAGAAAAGCACAAAAAATGGAACTTGAAAGTGTGGCCTCGCACGCGTGGTCTAGATTCCGGTCTCCTCCGCTCCACGTTCAGACTAGGCCCTCAAGCCCTCCAAGCCACCGGGCCCAGGGGCGCGAGGAGGCAGAGGTCCCCGAGGCGGGGGACCGCAGCCCCACACCAGGAGGACGCCGCAACCCGGGGCCGGCCCGGGCAGCCTCTCGCCTCGGCCCCTCTCATCCCTCCCGAGATCCCCGGTCGCAGGCCCCACTTACTGCCTAAAGCCCAGACCCCCGCCCCGGCCAAAACTCGAAGCGAAAGAACGCGCCGCTACCGGGGACCGCCATATTGACGTCAGCAGCCATATTGACGTCAGCAGCCATCCCGCGGCACCGCGCGTGAGCGATTTATGGAACGCACGGACTACGTCTCCCAGGATGCCCAGCGGGGTAGCGCCGGCCCGCGGCGCAGGGCTTTATGGGCAATGTAGTTCTTTTGGCCTGAGAATGCGGGAGTCGTGTTGGTTGGACAGTGCTCGCTTCCTTGTCTGCTGGCGGGTTCGCGAGTCCGCTCGGTGAGCCGACCACTCATTCGTTCACTTTTTAAAGTTTATTTTTTTATAGTGTTTATTTATTTTCACTTGTTGACAGTTTTGATTGATTTATTTATTTATGGCTGTGTTGGGTCTTCCTTTCTGTGCGAGGGCCTTCTCTAGTTGTGGCAAGCGGGGGCCACTCTTCATCGCGATGCGCGGGCCTCTCACTATCACCGTCTCTCTCGTTGCGGAGCACAGGCTCCAGACGCGCAGGCTCAGTAAGTGTGGCTCACGGGCCCAGTCGCTTCGCGGCATGTGGGATCCTCCCAGACCAGGGCGCGAACCCGTGTCTCGTATTCTCAACCACTGCGCCACCACGGAAGCCCTTAAAGTTTATTTTTATTTCTGTTCGCAACTCATGTTAGTTGCAGTAGAGAGTACAAAGATCGCTTGTCATTTGGCCCGGCTAATGCCAAGTTACTTAAACCTTGGAAACATTTGTGTAGGGCTTCAAGAGTGCCGTGCACTTACAGAGACATTTTACAGGTGTATCTCGAGTGAAAAATGTTCCAAGTAACTCTGATCCTTTATAACATCCTCGGTGTTTACTTTGTCTGCGCCAACTCTCATACACAAGAGTACGCCAAAAATACTTCAAAATCTCCTCTCTTGCCCTCTTGAGCACCTTTGGTGGACACTTTCAATAGCCTATATAGGCTCTTCTGGCCGTCTCTCCTGTCGAATGAGGGCGACGGGAAGATAATCATTTTGACTTCAGCTAAAGATCTGACAGATTGAGACCAGCAATAGTGATAGACGAAGCCACAAGGCAGGAGTCAAAGTGAATGCCAGCCTAAGGGATTTGTATTTGGAACATAGCGACATTCCTGTGGCTGCAAATGTTCAGGAAGTGTCGGTAGGGAAAGAACTGGAGGCGGGGGACCAGCTGGAAGGTTGAAGGTCTAGACCAGGAAACCACAGCGGGAATCGCATCTTCTCAGTTCTTATCAGTCTTCCGTCGGCCACCTTGCCCCCTTGGCAGCCTCCTCTTCATGATTCTCGTCCCTGGCGCCAAGGCACTCTATCCTTTTGCTTCTCTTTCTGCCTTTTGACTGCTTCTTCTTCGCCCGCTGTGCTTCATTCCCCTCTTCCTAACAGTGGATATTCCTCAAAGTTCCATTCCCTGGCCAAGAATTGGCACTGGAAGGTTAGCTTCTGGGGACGCAGGCTCACCCTTGTACCCAGCTGTATCCCGACCATCTCAACAGTGCCTGGCTCATTACAGGATCTTAATAAATATGTGTTAAATGAATGAAAGGTCTGTTAACACCACCATCCTTCCCCTCATGCAGCATCAAAGTCTCGGAGCTGTCTTTGAAACTTCATCTTTTCTCCATGAATCCAATCATTTGTAACTCAAAGTATCGCCTGGACAATGCTTCTTCTGTTTCCATGGCTCCCTCTCTGCCTGTCAGACCCTCATTAAGTCTCACCCACGTTAGAATTACAACATTTTAGGTGGACTGCCGCCTTCTCCATCCCATCACGCATGTCACTACCAGATCCATCTGAGGCACACCCTGAGCTTGCATTTCTCTACCAAAGAGGCTTTGGTGATTCTCTGGTATCTAGTGTAGAAATTCCACCGTGGTCCAAACACTAGTTTTTTTAAATTTATTTATTTATTTTTGGCTGCATTGGGTCTTGGTGGCTGCGCGCAGGCTTTCGCTAGTTGCGGCGAGCGGGGGCTACTGTTCGTTGCCGGGTGCGAACTTCTCTCACCAGGGAAGCCTCAACTGTGGGTTTCTCATGTTGATCCATGCTCTTTATTAGGTTGAGAAACTTCCCTTCTTCTCCTAGTTTGCTGAGAATTTCTGTCAGAAATGGATATTGGATTTTTATCAAACAAAGTGCCTATTAAAATAATTACATGGTTTTACTTTTCTAGTTTATTTATATGGTGAATTACCTTGATTGATTTTCTAATGTTAAAACAGCCTTTGCACTCCTGGAATAAATCTCACTTGGTTATGACGTATTATATTTTTATGTATTACATGGTACATATATATGTTTATATTATTGAATTTGGTTTGTTAAATTTTTGTTTAGAATTTTTGCATGTGTTCTTGAGGGGTATTGGTCTATAGTGTAACCGAGCAGAGCCCTATGGGGCCTTCCCAGAACATGCCTTCCCCCATATCCTCTGCTTTAGCTCCTCTCTGAAGTACCTACATGATAGTAATTTTTTTTTCAGTTTCTATTCACAAAGAAAAAGCTCCAGTCCATCTTCTAATTTTTTTGAAAAACTCCTGACATTACAGAACTCAACTGAAATGTATTAATATTCCACTCTTACATTTCCATGACAAACAAAAGAATTTCATGAGCCAGAACAAACAAACAAGCCAGGGTAGATAATAGTATTTGATGCAAATTTCCTGTGCTGTTTTGCAGATGTGAAAACCCCCCACCAAATGGAAAAACTACTTGCTGACCATGAGCACAGACCCCCAGGCCTCCTGGAGCCTAAGGACTGATAATCTAACCCCTGTGACACCGCCCTGCTGCCTCACCATCAGCCCATCACAGAATAGTGCACAAGCTGACAGTACCCTGTGACAGCCCCGCCTCACCTGCCCTTTAAAAATGCTTTGCCAAAGCCCTTCAGGGAGCTTGAGACTTTTCAGGGCATGAACCGCCTCATCTCCTTCATGGTCTTGCAATAAACTTTTCTCTGCTCCAAACTCCTTATTTAGTTTTGTTATGTTGTAATTGGTCTCATAGACCAATTCTATGGTCCTGTAACACGGAAGAGCAAAATCCGACTCCATGTTGGATCTGTTTCTTTTACTTTAACCTTTGCTACTTGAACCTTTGCTTTTCATTTACTTTTATTATTATAATCATACACAATGGCCTGCCTCAGGGAACCCTACCCCTCTGCCTGAATGTTAAACTGAAGGACCTTTGTTCAGCTCTCAGGGAGACAATCTGACCCTGCCCACCTGTGAATGGCTGCAGCAAAGAAGAAATTGACACATCCCCTCCCCCATGCTGGCCAAGCCAGGAGATATTTTGTGAAATTAATGGCCTTCTTACTTTACTTCCTCAACTCTTCCCCCTCTCTGTTCTGTAAAAGAAACTGGTATCCAGACCCCGATAAGATTTTTTGGGGAGACGCTAGTCTGTCATCTTCTTGGTCTGCTGGCTTTCTGAATAAAGTCGCTATTCCTTGCCTGAATACCTTGTCTCCCTATTTACTGGCCTGTCGTGTGACGAGCAGAGTGAGCCTGGACTCGGTAACAGTCTCATAGAGTGAATTAGGAAATTCCCTATGCTTCTACTGCAGTATATTGTATCTATATTCCAGAATATTTTCTGGAATGATAATTGGTAGTACTTCTTTTTCCAATGTTTGGTACATTTATCAG